TTTCTCTGCGTGATAGAGTTCGCAACGAAGACATCCGCACTGGAACAAAGGTAACCGCCATAGCTCAGAATGTTAGTAAGCTGAAGTGGCGATTGTCCGGCCATTTAGCTCGTAGAGCCGATAACCGTCGGAGAAGAGAGATTCTCGAGCGGCAGCCTCGTACTGGCCATCGCAGTGTGGGACTACCCCCCATTAGATGGAATGACCACCTGTGTAAGTGTGCGGTGTGCGGTGTGTCGATGGATGCACGCTCATAATTATCAACCTTGCCTAAATTGAAGACATTACTCAATTGATTAATTATCATTAAGAATTAAAAAGGTTTTCAACTCAAAACCTATACAGTACTTTCGGTTGACTTACAATTGTCGATTTTGGCTAAGAGCACGATAACGATACCTTGTGCCTAACACTCTGTGCTTATATGAGTTATATCTTTTTATATGAGAAGATGGCAAGCGAGCTGGTGGTTCACGACTTGATGTAAAGTGATAACCGTAGCCCATGGTCATCTGCAACACCGGTAGAGTTGTAGATACGTTGCCATCTTTTGATATAGTGGGCCCCACTTACCTCACTCGCCAGACGAAACGCAAAAGTATTACTCTTCCAGTTCACGCCGGTCTTCTGTGAGGCCGTGGTGCTTTCCCGGACGGAGCTGCCCATTCGTGCGACAACGACGACTGTTGCGTGGCCCTACCAGCCGCCAAGTTAAGCCGCCGTGACATGCACCTGTAATGGGATGCAAAGGGGTCAATGGCACTATTATTAAAACACGTTTGCACGTGAATACGCTTCGAAATCTTGCTCATTTTAGGGATGGCGCTAAGAAATAATTTACAACGTTTTTTTGTTTTGTTAATAGTTACAAAAAATCAACATCACAGAACCTGGATAACTGCTGGAGTAGACGTATTAAAGAGTTTAATCCGCGAAATGACAAACTTAGCGTAGAAATGGAAACCAATACAAGGTCTAATAAGGACATGGTTAATAACGCGATGCACTAATAAAAAAACCTTTAAAAAACTTAAAAAGTAGGTGTAATTGTTGTTAGTAAACTCATTACTTCATGCTAGCTTCATTTATATTAAAAAAAATCGTTTTTGTTAATATTGTAAAGGAGTCTTAACATATAGCTAAACGTATAGTAAGATGCCACTTTAATTATAAATTCAATAAAAAAGGACTGTATGTAGACGTATTAATCATTGTTACTCTTAATATACTATCTTATTTGAAATTTGCGAATTGGAAAATGTCCGTCTTCAAATCTACACATGTGAAGAAAGTGATAACAGAATTCCCATTTACTAAATTTCAAATCGACCGGTTATTGTACAGTAACAACGAATATTCCAGCCGGAATTTAGCAGAATTTCAAATTGCATTTACTCGTATTATATGTTTGTATTTCACGCTTGAACACATCGACAGCCGCGAATTGAGACTTGTGACGTAACGTGACGGGTTCTTATCCGCTTGGAACAACCTGCTTGTGGTTCCGCATTCATTATGGTATTCATTTTAAATGTGTATTTTAAGTCCCAGCGTTAGAAATAAACAAAGGTATATACCAATTTAAATGGATGGCTAACTTTTATCCGTCAGCGCTACACGGTCTTAATCTGGTGCTTCAGCTCTTCGCTATATTTATTTTTGTAATGAAATATATTTATAATAATTATTAACAACCCAAGAATGTTCAATACTTTTGTAAGTATATACAAGAGGTGGCAATTTCTTGTAAATTTCGAGATAAAAATTCGGAGCCGCTAAATGATACTAACGACATAGATCAGAATAACCATACAGTTCCACCCATTATCTAATAATATGAATAAGCAACATTTCCCGTGTCATTGCCTAATAGAAAAAGAAATAAACAAATTACAGTTGTAGCAGAAGTTTTTTCTCTATACCATTGTTGCTCCGAGACCAACGCGCAACTTTTCATCTACTATACAAATACAAAGTAGTTAATTTATTACGTAGCTTCATGCCTGAGTGAATGTTTTGATGTTTGCGGATGCGCGTTGTGCTGTAACAAAACATTGAAAACGGCACACTATTAGCACAAACCACAACTACTTACTGAAAATGTGTTTCATTACCTACCTGAGTTTCATTTTCGTAACATACATATTGCAAAGAATTATTCTAAAGAAAAAAAGTAAGGTAAATATATATAATTATATAAATGTCCCACTGCTGGGCAAAGGCCTCCTCTGCACAGAGGGTATTAGGGCATAGTCTACCATGCGACTCCACTGCAGATTGGCGGACTTCACATATCTAGGAAATATTTTTTGTTCTTGTTTTTATTTGGATAATATGCAGGTTTCCTCACGATGTTTTCCTTCACCTCCGAGCACGTCAGCACTTAAAATTAACAATTTCATCGGTCCCGGCACAAATATCAAAATCGTTTATTCATCGACATAAGAAAAATACATTTCATGTATCGACAGTTCCCCCAGCTGCGTGCCCCCATAGCAAAATGCTATATAACATTATGCTATGGAAATAACTAAAATAAAAAATTCTAGTTGTTTTTACGTCAGTTAGACATCTTTTTTTAGACATTTAAATTTTTATAGTGCTAATCTCTGCACTTGGACATTAAAATTTGTAGAAAAAGTACGAAAAGATTGTCGCCGCTGTGGGAATCGAACTCACGTCTTCGGCATTCGCGGCCTTACGCTTTAGCCACCAAGCACGTTCCTACTTTTTCTACAAATTTTTATGTTGATTCTTAAGTGCAGAGATTAGCACAATAAAAAATTTAAATTCTAAAAAGCAATGGCGACATCTGTCGTTAGAATTATCGTTGTAAAACGGTATTCTGCTAAAACATAATGTAGATAAAAGACGTTAAGATTTTCGTCATTATAGCCGTTTAGCCTAGTGGCTAAAGCGTCAGGCCGGGAATGCCGAAGACGTGGGTTCGATTCCCACCGCGACGACAATCTCTTCTTTTTTAATTTGACAATTTATCTAATATTTACAAGATTAAATCTATCTAAAATTACATATTATCTAATAACGCGACATGGTGCCAAGAACGCTAGCTGCATTTCCTCGCTGAATATTTATGCTTAACCTTTGAGCGAGAAAAGAACCAGCTCTCTTGTCACCAGCCGCGGCGTTAAGCCTTACATAAACTTTTAAAAAATTTTGATGTGCACCTAAAGTTTCAATAGCAAATGGCAGAAATACATAATCTAAGCATAAAGACTCATATTTGCGCCATTTACCTACTTCAACTGCCTCCGATGCCGCCCCGGCCCTGCCAAAAGTACCCCTTAGGTGAGAGGCAGCCAAAGTGTCTTCCTATCCCTTGGGAGGGAGGCAAAGCCTCCTCAAAGTTAAACCGTCGGTTCTCCTACCATCGTCGCGGAAAATGCCACAGAGCTCTAAAATAGATGAAACATTGATGAAAACAAGAGCCCTACGGATGACGTCGTTCAGGGAACCGTGGCGGGAAAAGCGGCCAGCGCTTTTTTAACAAGAAAGCCCGTGGAGAACAAATTTTTCGACACCGCAAGGGCATTGGTGTGTTTGACGAATCGGTGCCCCCAAACGGATTCCTACAGACAATGTGTAAGCTTTCATCGTCAAGTAATGTGCCCAATTTACTTGACGGTAAAGCGTGAAGCCAATAACTTGATTCTTAGATGAACTAAACTCTTACGGTGGTAGGGCCACGCAGCAGCCTCGGCTGTTGCACGAATGGGCAGGCCCGTCCGGGTAAGTACCACGACCTCACAGAAGACCGGCGTAAAGTGGAAGTATGACAAATACTTTCGCGTTTCGTCTGGTGAGTGAGGTAGCCGGAGCCCAATTTTCAAAAGGTTGTCAACGCATCTGTAACCCTCGAGTGTAGCAGATGTCCATGGGCGGCGGTATTCACTTAACATCAGGTGAACCGTCTGCTCGTTTGACAACATTTCGCATAAAAAAAAAAAAAAAAAAAAAAACGCCTAGGAAAATGAGATTACATGTTAGAAAATCCATTTGAGAGCATGTACGAACATCGTTACTCATAATATTAAAAATCACCCTTGAAAAATTAAAATAAGGTCACTAAAATGCACGACGATGAGGAAGCCTAGCGACGACCACCACTGGCTCTTAACAGGGCAGCGAGACGTGGACGTGGAAGCTGAAAACAAATACATTTGTATTTGTATTTACATATCTGGGGCAACAAATCAGGTTAACATAATTATAAGAATTATTACTGTACTCCCCAGGTTTTAACGCAAAATCCAAGCAGAGAATTTGTTTTCGTTGGCCGCAAAACTATACTGAAATACAAAATTTATTTCTTAAATCAGAGTCTTAGATTTTTAATACTGAACTGTCATCGGTTTTAGAGCCAAAATTGGCCATGCGGAAAGCCCATTGACTTCATCGAGTCAGAAGAACTTGCACCATTAATTACAACTTTTTGGATTCTATTACATAAATATGACTTAATGAGGTCAGGCGCGGTACATCTAATGTCATAATGGCGTAATTTTCTGATCAATGTTTCGTGATTGACGCAATCGGAACCCTTGGAAAGATCACTAAAGACACCCAGAGCATCCTGTGAACTCTCCCAAGCCTCAAATATATGCTTGAAGTATATAAGTTGTAGAACGACCCAGTTTGGTTTTACAAAGGGTAATAAATTATTTAAATTAAAATGGCTTAACAGCTGATCAAGAACAGCACAGGGGATCGAACTCAGGTTGCTCGAGTATATTGAACTAAAATCGAGCGCCCGGACAATGAGCTATCACGGCTCTCTTTCGATTTATAGATCGTGTTATTTAAATTAGGCTACATACAATATTAATTCTAATGGCATATTATTTCATTTTAGGTAAATCTTTTATATACTGCCGCAGTTCAATTGCTAAATTTTAAAATTGAAAGATAACATCCATCTTCTGGCGTATTCTGGATGAATACAACAATTTAAAAAGGTTAAATAAGTTATAAAAGTGCTAATTGTGTGTATGTAAGTGGGGCGGGAGCAGCGCACATACTCCACCGCGCACCTGCGCATCGCCCGCTATCGGCCACCACTTGACGTTATCGGCCGCGAGGACTGCGGGCCCGAGTGCACAATCGCCGCTAATTGTGTATCACACGCACACTCTGCTCTTATTGTTCACTTGCTGAGGCGGATGCAAGGTGTTCATTGTTTAGCTGATCGTCTAATTAATCCTCGATATACTTGTTTTCACGTAGGCAGCGACCTGCTGACAAATATATGCCGCGGCCTGCCATGACGGGGCCGTGCACAGTCTTTCTGAGGGCCCAGAGAGGGTCGCATGTACTGTTGACAAAGGTATACAGGTCTGTGATTACGGCGACGTTAGCTGTAATTAGCGAACGCGTTGTTGGAAGGTTGGTTGAGGAGTTCAAGGCGACTTGAGTAAAAGTCCATAAGAGAAAATACTAGGACAAAATAATAAAATCATCCCTCGTATGGTCATGATTAGACACTATCAACACAATATCGATATCAATCAGTACTTCTATTTATATTACCTGTTGAATTTATAATTACGACAGATTATACAAGATATGCTGTAATTATAACCTTCAATGTTTTAAAATTGTTTGTGACATTATGAATTAAGCGTATTTTTTGTGAGAAAAAATAAAAAAGAAAAAAGACACATTTCAGGTCCTAATTGGACGCGGAAGTTTCCGAGAGGCTGCACAAAATACGTTGACTGTGTGGCAGTAAGTGATTGAAAGTGCAGGACGGGATCAAGTACTATGGTTATGTTCGCTATACGATATTTTTCGCGACAGTATGCTGAAAGGTGCGAAGTTCACAGGCCTGGGCCCGGCGTATTATTGTGCCCTCGTCTCATCGACTGACAATTTTGAGGCACTAAAGCAATTTGCGTACGCATGGCGAAGAGTCGCTCATTCTTGTTTTGTCAAGCCTCCAAGTCTCCTCCCATGTTGAAAATCAAGGACAATTAGGTTAAAGCATTCGTAGGGCGTCACTCTCCCCCATATCGGCGCAGATAACAGCGAGGTTGGTGGGGCCATGAGAGGTGTCTGTTCCTGGACTAGTGAATTTAAATGTGATATTCTTACGTTCAGTCTCTTCCCGCTTATTAAACTCATGAGCGCTCTGTCAATTTTATATAGGAAGGAAGATTTCTTAATTAAAGTCAAAGGGTTCGATCGTAAAGGAAATCAGTAAGTAAGCAAAGTAAAAAGGCAATTTAAATGAACAAGCTCAACTAGCCGCTGCTTGGAAAAACCTTTTACATAATCTGCATAGGAATGTGGTTAACATAAATTGCCTTACGTAAGGAGGGGACAATGTTGGCATCTCGGGCACTGGACACGTTCGCGAGGCGAAGGCCCGCATTAGGAGCCGGCATTGGAAAACGCCCGCGCCGCCGCGACATACTCGTACGTCCGTATGGTGCCACGACACTCTTAAGCTAAAGAAATTACTGCTTTAATAACCGTTTCAATTTCAAACTTATTGAATTGGTTGTTTTCCAAAGTTAAACATTAATGAAACCAATAACTTTTTACATTTAAATATAATTCCTAAATTAACTATAATTTAACTAAATCATCATCAATTGCAATTAATATATTTTTCACAAACTAAGAATACACGAACAGGGGATAAAATTTTTACCTACTTCTTTTGTTATCCGAAAGAAATATAACCCCTTACGTGCATACATGCAAAAAAAAATGTGTGTAACTATGTAAGACACACATTTTTTTTATCTAGCACTTCCATTTTTCTTTCTTTATTTAACCCCTACAGCGGCGGCAAAAGCAAAGCCAATTTTTTGATAATTTGATAACGATGGCGCCAGGATGATGCACGTTCAACTGGACCAATCGTTTCGGATGGCAATTGCCCACTGAAATTTGCAGCCTATTTATATATATATATATATATATTATGTATTGAACTCGGCTCTTATTTCACATTTATATTTTGATGGGATTTTGTATTACTTTTACATTTTGCTATAAGCAACCACCACTTTCACGTATATTAAACTTTAAAAAGTATTTGGCAATAGTAGAAATTTAAGATTAAAAAGCCTAAATAACTACACATGTTCAGAAAAATACGTTAGTTCAACGAATAAGTAAATGTTCTTATGTTTCCCACATGCATAATACTAGATAACGACTACGTTACAGGCCATTCGCATAGTCTATTGTTTAAGCCTCGGTGCACATCAGCAGATAAGCGTCTGTGTCCCTCATTATTATGCTTGAATCCTCTGTTAAAGATTAAAATAGCAACCACTCTAATAAGTATGTGAGTCATCTATTTCTATTTACTATTATAATAAAAGAGTAGAATAGAAGCGGTGTGTCTGTACATTGGATATATTTAAGAAAAAATTTATTAGGGGCTCACAAAAAGAGTTATAAGAGACGTAAAAACCATCTTTCAAATTTTTGTCTGTCTTTGTGTATGGTTGTTCGCTTTAAACTTGAAAACTACTCATTGGATTTTGATGCAGTTCACTGCTTACTCAAGCTAAGCTTGGGGCACATTGTTATCACATTTAGCCAACTACTTGACTGATTTGGTTCATGTTTTTGAAATTATATGAAGAATACTTTCTATGCAACATTAAAGCTTTGTTTCATTGCAATCGGTTCGCTCAAATAGAAGAAATGCGGCAACCGGGGGTAACTTACGAACTTGTGTATGTATGTATCAATTATTAAGTAAAATTCGACGTTTCATAAGAGCAACCTTCTATTTCAGTAAAGATATTTTGAATTTGAATTTGATTTTGTAGATTTTATCTATTAATAGATTGTATCCTATATTTTTCTAAGCTGTTGCATAGCTTTTATCGCGGGATTTGAGCGCGGCGACCGAATCAAGAAATTCCGTAACGAAAATAAAACCTAACACCACCCACTCCGCCTACCATGTAAGAGGAAAGATTTGATTGTTTGTATGCATTGAATAGGCTCCGAAACTACTGAACCTCTGATCTCAAAAGCAAACATGACGTTACTGAGACTGAATATCGACTGAGCGCCCGTAGAAGCCGTTGACGGAACACTACAGTACATAATTCGAGATGAAAGGCCAATGGGGAACGTCGCGGTTGTTTTCTCTGTAGATTTTTGTCACACCCTTCCTGTGCTTGGGGGACTAAAGCCGACGAAATAAATGCCTCACTGAAGCGTTCTTATCTCTGGCCTCAAAAACAAAAGTTGTGGTTTGACAGGTACCCTGTGAAGTGAGTTCACATGCCCAAGTGTATTCCGTTATTTTACAAGATACAAGTTATCCTTTCAAAGAAAAACGGACAGGTGTAACTTCCGATCATACTTGGTAGACTCGTTTTATAAGAAAACACACTAATAAGTTCAGTATTTAGAGAACTTTCAAGTATACCCATCAGGAAAATTCTTGGTTAAGTGAACGTGGTATGCTCACTCCAAGCAATGACCAACCCGCTACAATAAATGAAAAATATCTTGTAACGTTATCAGTATCCTTAATCAAGAGAACGCCACAAATTAGCCGGTTAACTTTTTAAGTTCGCTTAATGGAAGTGCACTTCCAATGGCGGGTTCCATTTTCAGTTTCTTAAAATAACTTCTCTAAAAAGGCATAAAATTGAAGCTGAGCTCGTCACTGGGCGAAATTGTGTTTTTCCGCGAATAGCACTCGCTTTATCGCGTGGCGCTGTTGTCAAGGCATTACCTTCAGTGTGGGTAAAATTTCCCACACAGGGCAATTATTTGTGTGACCCATAGTAATTGTTTTGGATTCGGGTGTTTGTCCATGTGAAATTTATGTATATAAAACGTCCCTACAACACAGGATAATCTTATTAAATGAAACTACTTTACGGATTTTATCGCGTTTTTTATTTTAATTTAAATTCCCGACGTTTCGAACCCTTTCCAGCGTTCATGGTCACGGGACAAACTAAGTTGTTAGACGTCTTGATGTCATAGTTAACCCCGGCTACCGTCAATTATTTTGTTTATTTTTATTCCGATCCACGCAGAAGGAGCTTATGGTATCTTGAGGTCTGGCAGTGACAATGGGAGATACTGGGCAGCCCATTGCTACACCATCCAACTGTATATAGAATTCTTCCTTCCACAATAGATAGCCAGATGTGAGGCAATGTTTGAGCAGTAATGCATATTCTATAGGCATGTTGTTCTCTTTAAGCTTTCTAGTAACTATTGAAATACAATCTTCTATAGGTAAGCATGTAAATAAAGACTGTATGTCAAAGCTAACCATAGTTTCATTGTCAGCAAGATGTAGGTGGTTAATCTCACTGACAAAATGGTATGAATCTTTAGTGTACGCCTTTGTATGTCCTCTGAGTGGTGAGAGGATCTTAACAAGATGTTGGGCCAGTCTATAAGTTGGTGAGTCGATCTGGCTGACAATTGGGCGTAAGCCCAATCGTCAGTAAGCGAGTGCCTGCTGTATTGCCATATGTCAGAGGTGTCACTGACAAGATTGGCTATATCTTGAAGCGTGCTTCAATTAAAACGTATTTCAAGCCACCGAAGAAGATAAGTCAATTTTTACCATCTGTCAAGTGTAATATCCCTCTACAAGATCCAGGAGTGTACAAGCTTGACTGCGATTGTGGGCTCTCTTACATAGGACAAACAAAACGATCAATTAAAACCAGAATTAAAGAACACATAGCTGACGTGAAGCACCGACGGTTGAAGAAGTCTGCAGTTTGTGATCATATTTTAGACCGCCCCAACCACTACATTGGATACACTAAAATATGGATATCCATTGTAAAAGTAAATAATACTAATTGAAGTTATTAAACCCCGTTAATACGGCAGCGAATACGTCGAAATAATATTGGCAAGAGGAAGACAGTTTCCGCAGAAACATTTGTAATGTAATTTGGATAAAAAGAAGCGAACTAATTGGCGGAATGAGGTAAACGGCAGAAATCCTCATGTCGTAGTATTTGTAATACACGTAGACGTTGAACATTTGCAATCAAAATTACCAATTTTAAAGTTCCTGTTACCACGTAAGGCTAAAATTGTGTACATAACTCATTTTGAGGTTATAACTGATTTCAGTGTCCTGCCCGTAAATAATGACGGAAAATCAATTCTCGTCTAATGTTTATTCGCTTACGTAGGTATCTCCGTTATATACGGAGGTTAATGTTATTGAGGGCAAATTTAATTAAATTTGGAATGATATTTACACTATATAGTAATTTAGCTTACTCCTGATGACGTAAAACTAAATTGACGAATGATGAACGAACGATGAATGAACTGTTTACCAAAAAATAATAGGCTTAAAATCAGAAAACAAAAAATTGAATAATCATTGCATCTTGTGTTATATATTTAATCTATACGTTAAATTTTAAACACTGTCCACTGTATAAAAGTAAAATGTCTTACAAGAGGACGGATAACATAAGTTTTGAGCATTCTGCAAACAAAAATCTGTTAAATATGTCATATACATAAAAAATATATAATTTTTTAAATGAAACTATTTTTACAGATAAATCGCGTTTATTTCTAATTTTAGTTCCCGACGTTTCGAACCCTTTCGTGGTCACGGGACAAAATACTTTCAATAAGTAATGTGTTTTTAAACGGTTTTATTTAGCTCGACACGTACGGAATTTATTTGTTTGGGTCAAAATTAGAAATTGAAATTTAAGCACCTTGCCGTTGTCAGATTGATCTGAAATTTGGTACACATATTTAATTTAGATGACAATACAATATTAACAAAAAAAAAAAAAAAAAAACCGTTTAAAAACTTTTATTTTAGGGTAAAAACAAGAAATTAGCACAAAATTTTTATTAAAAAAAATAAACAACTGTTTACCTCACGTAGTTTTACAAACATCTAATCGCAGATACCTAGAATCTGAACAACTATTAGTTGAATATATAAATGTTTGCACGTGGAACACAAGGTGTGCTTTCGGTAGTGATAGATTCGGCATAATATTATGTCTCGCTAATATATTATATATTAAGCGTGTCTTTTTTAAGTAAAAGACACGCTTAATATGTAAAATAAATGTATAAGAGCGACGCCAAAAAAGTAAGTCTTTTTTGGCGTCGCTCTAACTAGCTGTTAATTTCCCAAGGTTAGAAGCAAACGAAATAAATATTTTAATTGTTATGTAATATTATAACAAATCATAATTGATTTTAAAGCAATGTGATTTTTATATCATTGCAACTCACTTTCTTTCTTTCTTTCTTGATTTCTACTTCTTATGCATAAGTGAACTTAATGGCCGTTAATCTTACTCCACTTTGATCCAGAGAAAATTTGTCTCGTTTTGCGAGATAAGCCCAACGTAGGTAATGTCGAACTTTCGTAATCTTCTTCGAAATCGTGTCGGTCCGGTGATCGTGAAAGAATAAATAACCAACGACCAGTTGGGTCACCGTTATAACGTTTGAGGGGATAATTTTCGATCACCGCGATATGAAAACGTAAAGGCTGTATGTTGACAAATTGTTGAAGATGGTCTGATGAACAGATTGTGATGACACAGATCACAGTTGCTGTGCTATAAAATATTATCATAGCTAAAGGTGCATTATTTAAAATGTACGAACGTGCAATTAAAAAAATGAAAATAAAACGTAAAGATGAAATTTTCTTATGTAAGTATAATTTTTAAGAGACAATAACCAATATTAAATTTCTGGATGAGCGGCATATTTAAATTTTTTACAAAAACAGAAAAAATACACGAATAAAAAGTTATTGCATTCAATTTATTAAGAAATTTAATAAACTTATAAATTTTATAGGAATAACATTAATCATAATTCCCATTTTTTTAATACAGTTTTAGGTTATATTTAAATACAATATAGCTATTAACGTCAAGTTGGAGGGCGTTATAAACCAAGGAAGACTGTTTTAAATATCCAGCAATGCTTGCGTGTCTGAATGGTTTTCATAAAACCTTGCAGTTTAGTTAAGTGCTATGCGTCATACTTTAATGATGTCACTTCAACGTGTACTTGTTTGAATTAAACGACCACCAGATAACTGGCACATTAAAGATACCGCACTAGTTTTTACTGTTATCTGTGTTCTCGTACGTCGGTGTTGATGTGTCATCGGGTGCGACCGAGTGGCCTAAGAGGCTCTCCCTCTCTGCGGGGAAAATAAAAAGCCAGCCCAAGTCGGCGACCGCGACGGCCGCGTCCTTGAGCCCACGCAACACCCCGACCCCCATCCTCCCACTCCCGCGCCCCTGCCCACGCAGTGGCGGCAGTGTCCGTCCACACTTCGTACACACAAACACTGTTATTTTTCAATATCCTTTATTGATCATTCAACAATAATTTCACTTAAGTAGGTAAATAACTCTAAACTACACATTTAGATAATCAGGTAATAAAATTCAATCGATTTTCGCTCATAAAAATAAATTATAATATAATTATAATATTATATAGTTCTATCGGAATCCCTTAAAACGTACAGTACCTATGTACAATAAAATCAATGGCAAACGATCGCGAGCGGCGCGGGCGCGGAGCGGCAACGCCGCGCGCGCCCTCACAGTTTCTTCACGATGTCAAACTTGGACTTGAGGTCCATCGGCACCTTCTTGGGGTCGACCTTCTTCTTGGCGGCGAGGTGGGCGCGCATCTCGGCCGCCGTCATGGCGAGGTTGAGGCGGGGCGCGTCGGGAGCGTCTGGAGCGTCCGGGCGGCGGGGGCGGCGGGGGCGCGCGGCGGCGACGGCGGCGGCGCCTCCAGCTCGGCGGGCAGCGCCTCCCCCGGCGCCGGCGCCACCACCAGCAGCTCCGCGTCGTCCGGCCGCTGCTTTATGCGCGCCACAACCTGCTTGTGCGTCTCCCCCGCGATGCTCTGCCCGTTCACCTCGAGAATGCGATCGCCGCGCCGCAGCCCAGCCACCTCCGCAGGCGAGCCCTCGTCGACCTTCCCGATGTACTGTCCGGGCTTGCCCTTCTCAGCGTGCAGGTTGAATCCATAGCCATCGAAGTCGGGCACTTTCCGTACGTGGCAGAGCCGCGGCTCCGCGGCCGCCGACCCGTTCGCGGACATCGCTGCGACTGCGCGCGCCCGGGGCCGCGGCGCCGCGCGCGCCTTTCGTCAGGCACCACCGCGCCCTCCCCGCGCTCTCCCCGCGCCCTCCCCGCGCCCTCCCCACGCCCCCGGCGCTCCCCCCGCGCGGCCCTGACGGCCGGTCGTTCGCGGGGCGGCGGGGCGCGGACGGCGCGGGTGCGCCCAGTGAGCAGCGGGTCGCCGCCGAGGTGCGAGCTATTGTCGCGAGTGTAGTGAGAGCGTGTATTGCCCTGTTGAGCCGTCAACTAGTACAGGTGAGAAGCGAGGAAGGGGGTGAGTACCGTGGGGGGCTTGAGATCCCAGAACGTGCCCGTGCGCAGCCGCCAGCACTAGATACCGACCAAGGCTGCCGTCATTCCTACAGCAGTTCGTCATTGTTGGCAAAGACGGTTTGAAGTTGCATGGTGAACTGGCAGGAGCGATCGTTTTTTTTGCGGCCATCCGGTTGCGTCGGTTTTTAAGATAAATTACAGATAAAGGACCTTGCTAAGACATCTTGACGACGCTGGTCCAATGATCACGTACTTCACTCGATATTTGGTGTCCAGGGAACGGTTCGCAATATGACCGGATATTGCAGCCGATCGGAATCGTAATCGCGCTACTGAACTTCCGTTCAGAGGAAGAAATAAAACACACGTTAAGCCAAATTAACTCTTGTAAATTATGTTAGTATAAGTTGCTATTGTTGTACACTGCAATCACAATTAACAGTTATCTGTTAAGCATATACATAGTTTTAGAGTTTACTTGCTTAATTAAGCGATTGGCACAATAAGTAAATAATTCATAATGAACAAGTGCACATGACATTCTGAGAATCGTATGAAAACCATGCTGCTCGGCGGCGATGCTAGAAAATTCCGCAGATATTTCCGTGCCTGTAAATAATATATTGCTATAGTAATAGCGGTACTGCTGAATATATTTGATAATAATAATTATTATTGTAGATAGTTCCATCTGCATAAAGCCCTGATTAATGTTAAAGTATTAAAATTTATTTTTCTTAAATAGTAATATGTTATTAAGTGAAACAACCACATCAAAAGATTGTGTGCACGTAAGCACTTTAATCTATAGAAAAACAAACATGTTGAAAGCTTCACAATGCCCAATATGGAGTTTGAGTATGCCCAACACACGACAAACACGTGAGGATCTAGTAATTCAAGAGCAAAGCCGGGCTAATGCTCCGCTTTGAATCTCATTCTTTGTAGACCGTGAGTGAGCCCATTAGATGTACGATGTACAGTAAGCAATGAATGCCCCTTCGGAAGCACCACACACAGCCGTCGTCTCGAATGATTGTACAATAACTTATAATTCCAAATCTGAATTATGTTTCTTTACATATTTTTTCACTTCATGACTAATTTGACATCCAACTTGTGCAAGTGAGACGTAAGTAACTTTTATCATACATTCACACATAACTTATTAGAGAAATGTACTTTAGTTGATTATCAATAAATATATACTCGCGTTAGCTAACGCTACATCTAAATGTTTTCCTTTTTTCACAGTAAAGATATGATTTCAATATCACAGTCTTAATCCACAATCAAATTAACTTGCTCAAATACTTAATTAATTTACAGTTTCGAGCAATTAAGAGATGACAAATTATTTTAGTACTTACGTTCACTATTCTAAACTAATAACCCTGTTCTTAGATTGATGATCTACAGAATGCTGTAGTAGCTTAAACTTCAATTAGTTATTTTCACTCATGTGAATCTCAGAATCAAAAACGTCCTTGCAGCTAGATTTTGGAATTGAATTAGACACGAACACCACATGCCTCAATGCACGCCATAGATCCTATCTAGATACTATCGCATCCACTACCACTAAACTTTAAGAATGCAGCATCGACTTGAATCGGCAAATTGTCTCTTTTGATTGTTGTAGTTTAAAGAGTTATTCTGTCGGGACGTTGTCCAAAACTATGTTTTAGAAAGCCTCTCCGTACAAAATATAAACATAGCGAATTTTACGTGAAACTTTTACATTAACAGCGCCATTAACCGACACAATGCATGTGCATATGAATGTGGGAGAAGCGAATCTATGAACGGTGATCATGGCAAATCTAACTCTACCTACTCCGTTGGAGATGTCTGTGTTTCATATTTTTCTTTTTCAAGTATCATCAAGAAAAATTGTAACAAGACTATTTAAACACATGTTTAGAAATTGTAACAAGACTATTTAAACACATGTTTAGAAATTTGAGTTCTATCGCTACAATATATCCTATCTCCATTACCCCTGGTATTGATGGCTACTCTCTAAACTAACACCATTGTATTATGCTCTTGTATGATAGTACGTTAAATCAATTTTAGAATGTGCAGCTTTTGTATTCGTCTTAAATTGATATTAGTATCGTTTGTGGCTCGCGTGTATCGCTACAAATCCACTTGATGCATATATAATGCGTGGAAAATGAACAACTAGCTATATCGATGTGTGTTGATAAACATGTACCATGTCATGTTGATACAATTACTCACACGCCTAATGCTAACTGGTTCGTCGCAAAGCCTACCTTCGTGTGCCGATGACGCAGTGGCATCCGTTTCGCTCTGACATGCCTTCTGTCCCGCTCTAGTCGCGCACACCGGTTTCGCGACACGTACGCGATCACGCACACTCATGCGCCCATGCGCAAGCGCTACCATCGGAATGCCCGATGAAATCAGCAAACTAATGCCTTCTAGAAGCCTCAAGTCTCAAGATACCACGCGGCCAAATCGGCCATAGCTCATATTTGGTCGGTTCGAATCAAACTAATGTACACAGGCAAGTGTTTTAAGCTTTTCCAGCAATAAACAAGTTAATAATTCTAAATCCAACGAAGAGTCGGGGATTCAGATTAGCATTTGCTTGTTTCGCGTTCTGCGTGCAATGTGTCTTTAGTAGTGCTCGTTCCGTTTACCCAGTTCCCTGCAGGTGGCCATAGAAAGTGCCGCCCCGTGTGGATACTATTGTTTGCATTGTTGAAGACAAATATGAGGTATATTTTCCGACTTTTATTGACACAATATTATAATCTTTTGCTACACATAAAGGCATATTATACTTATGTTAAAATTATGTTCAAATTTATTTAATAATTTTATTTAGTACCGCATTTAACTGCCGTTTGGAAAGCATTCTTGTTTCGCGAGAAGGCTGTAAACGGTTATTTAGTACTGAGTGATTATAACCCAACCAGTCACCAATCTTATTATAAAATAGTCTTTCCGGGCAAAATTAATAACTATAATACTTGTATACTTGAATATATGCACTTATCAAATAAAAAAAACCGGCCAAGTTAGAGTCAGAATCGCGCACGAAGGTTTCCGTACTACATTATCTATAAAAACGACAAATAAAATCATATCTGTTATATGGGAGCACACTTAAATATTTTTATTCTGTTTTTTTAGTATTTATTGTTAATGTTAATTAGCGGCAACAGAAATACATTATTTGTGAAAATTTCAACTGTCTAACTATCACGGATCATGAGATACAAACGGACACACAGACAGACAGAGAGCGGCGTCTTATTAATAGGGTCCCATTTTAAGGACCAACATGCTCATTCAAAATCTTCTTTACGTATCCAAGGACCGTCAGAGACCTGCTCGCTTTATATCACAACTTGATCCACCACCTTTGCATCTTTACTTCAAACATGCATGTTGATAGCGTTCTCAATTTTCTTCTTTCCATTGGACGTACTCTCAATCAAACCGTTCTCTGAGAAGGAAAGAAAAAAAATATTAAAGGAATAAATATCCTGGCATATAAGGCCTATAAGCCTATAATAGTTTCACGTAGTCTTCGTGGAGTCGTCTCCGAGCTCACATATAAGCTGTAACTTATACAAATGATGCCACCTTTCCGAATTATAACAAGCACTACTAATCTTCTTATAACACACGTACCGGGTGGTATATTAAAACAACTTTGGGAGATGTCGCAATGTACGTAGTATACTATCTTGAATCTAATAAAATTGTGCAAAAACATCAACAACCTTTGTAATAATACAAATCGTAATAGATACCCCAAAAGGCCAGTTCTAACGTATGGAAGCGAAAGTAGCAGATAGAACGGAAAATGCTACAAGATACAATTAAAGAGAATACAAGATACAATGAAATAAGATGCTACAATTAAAGATGCTACGGTGGGTGTACAGAGTGACGAGACTCGACAAGATATAGACTCGAGTAAGTGCGAGGAAGTCTCGGAGTCCGTGACATCGCCGAGAAGCACCAGGAAAGTAGGCTGTGATGGTATGGACATGTGCAACTTCGACCTTCTGAGTACATAAGGAAAGAAGCGTACCATCTGAACATCTGTGGTTCCCGGAAACGAGGAAGACCTAAAATAAGATGGACAAAGGAACTGAGAAAAGACCTTAATGCCTGCAAAGTTACCCACGACGATGCGATGGATAGAGCGAAGTGTAAGCGAAAGACAAGAAAGGCAGACCCCACTGCAGTGTGGGAATAATATATGCACGGGAGGGAGAGAGAGTAATGGGTACCTTAAAATTTATTTATCTGTGTTGTGCTGAAGCTCGAGGCAAGCTGAAAGGCACCCTTCTACCAAAATGCCAAAATATTACCGAAGTCACCTGCACGGGGAGCAGTAACTACCTACATTTTACCTCCTTCCTGTATTGAAAAATACGTTACGTATTTAAAATTACGCCGTTAAATATCCATTAAGGAAAATGGCGTTACGACATTGTTCGGACGCTTTGGCCTACTTTCGAGATTATCTTAATTTAATTTGAACCGATTATAATAATTTCTTGTATTTACGCGATTAAAACTAAATTAAAAATAAACGCGATAAATCCGTAAAATTAGTTTCATTTTTTTGAACCGATTATATTAAACGTCGTTTATGTTCGTAATCTATAGGTTATTGCTTTGCCGTGTCTAGACCAAAATATACTGATGTATATTATACAGACATTTTTGAAGCTATATACTTGTTTTGGAGCTTTAAGAGAAAAGTAATATGATTGAATATTAATCATGCGTGCAAACATAACGGTGTTAGTTTTGGGTCGCTTAGCCCACATCATAGCAACAATGTACCAAAGCCTGTTTTGTCACATTATCCCGTAGTTAAACGCACGCATGAGCACATGCGCGGCCCTACCCACAGCGGAGGGCCCAAACCCGTGGGTTCTGGCTAGCCCACCGGTTCTGCGTCAGATGAAGCTTTAATAGTCTCTGGACTGAAAGCACAAACATCAGTTAATACAAGATACAAGAAGTCACATTATCGATGTTTGGTACATTAATAAAGGGAGATATATCGACTATAACTTCAATCGTCAACAAGATTCAGCGAGTTAACTTACTTGCGTACGTAAGCACACATATAATTTTATTGATTCTGATTATAGCGATCTATTGCAATTAATTTCTTGTAAGATAATCATAGATCTCACTGTAGGGTAAGAATATCTTGTTGTAGCGATGTTATACGTACACATGAACACATGGGAATGAAACCCACGCCATGCAAGGCTGAAGTCTATAACAACCGTGCCATTACCAACGTTGCAACGATCCAAATAAACTTCTACGAAACGTAACGTTCGATTTAGACAAGTTTTGTTTTTATAAACAGACCGTTTTGGTAGGCGGTCTCGAAAGAATTTTACTTAACTGGCTACATACTACATAAAAGGATAATAGTTCTAATACGAAACTAACTTGAATGACACACTAAAAACTACAGGCTGAGGTGCGGTGCTGCTCATTTTCTGAGCGTGTCTGCGTCCGCTCGGCGATAAGATAAGCGCTGGTTAGTTTATTAATCCACCGAATTCCTCTGCGATACAGCGATGTAATATAATGAACATTATATGAATAAATAGAACAACGGTTTCAAACTACAAGTGTCGTCCTGTCTTTCCATACATTAACGGGAGTTACGTTTTATTAACGAACAGATGAGAATGTGAGTTACGCGTTGAAATCTTTTGCGGGGAGATGAGCTCCCAACGCGCAAGTAAAAATGTTTTCGGGTAGCTTTGCTTCTGAAAAAATTTCTTCGTCCGGATAAATCTTAATTACAATATTAATGCGTGCATATAATAATAAGTGCATGTTATATGCGGATGCCAACTTCTGTGCGTCGACGTCGCCGCGGAACTTCCTGCGTGACGACACTGATAAGCTTTGATAATTGCAAAATTGGGAAGAAAACCCAAAATAAAAAATTAAGTGTCGATACTTTAAAAATATTAACCGTTTACAGTTTCAGGATTTATTAAAACGTTGAAATTGGTTAATAGATAGAAATTGAATGGTAATGATGTTGACCAATTTTAAATATATATATTATAAATATTTCATAATAATGCACAAGAGCAAGTTCGATAGTCTCCATATTGCTAGAAATACATTGATAGTTGCAATTCGAGGGCCAATTATTACAATGAGAGCGCCATCAATTCAAGAGTAAATAGGTCTTGACTGGCCAAATGCATTTACAAATTAATACTTAGTACAGGTTATGAGCTAGCTATTTGTGAATTTGAAGATGTACGCACGAAAGAGGTGAAAATACACTCAAGTCGGAGGCAAATCGCCTGACGGGCGTAAATGCTCTGCGAGTTCTCGTCAGTCGGACTCTAGCGCCATGAAGATGACGCCTCGGCCCGAGGGCGCTGCTTTCCTGCTTTCTAATTAACTAAAGCGCATTTGGTGAGATCGTCTAGTGACACGCTATCGCTGGCCGAAAGAGTCAGTTTTTAGGACAAGTTTACGTCAAGTTATTTTAAGTAACCATTTGAACATATTGGGTTTTCAGTCTTGTGCGTACATAATATAATATAAAAAGAGTATTCTTGTATTTGTTCAATGTGATCCGGCCATCGGCTTCTGCCTTTGCAGTAATGGTCAGGCTTGGCCGAAGAAGTACCGTGAGCTCGTAGAGACGATAAGAAGAAGCCTGTTCGATTAGCACCTTTTCAGCCACCTAATGTAAAATAAATAATTGCATCAGCTATAAATCGGCACTTGAAAAAACAGAAATATCTTATATTGATCGCCCGCGATTATGCGATATAGATCGCCGCCGATTGAAATCATATCGCAACTATCCCCACCACTGAACCTCGAACACTAGTCAATGAACCATTAAATCTTGAGACTTGTGTCGATTCGTAGAATTCCGCTGCTACGATCGGCGCGCACACACACCGCCGTCGCAGCAGACGACACGCCACCCTGCACCTTCAGGCGGACGCAGACTGCTTCTCCGACACTGGTTTGAGTGCTTCAGCTCCTAGACATTTTAGTTTATTTGTGCGATTACTACAGATTACCTAACAAAACAATTTGACAGTTTGATCGCCTTAAATCTGTAAGATGTTTTGTAAAATTTACATTACACAAAACATTTTACTAAAATGTTTTAAAATTACTGTGTTATTCAAATCGATTACATTAGTTACAAGCAAATTGTGGACACAATTTTTCAAAACACAAAATAGGCATACTTCATGTTGGAAACTGATTGCATGTACAGAATTTAGAGCCGGCCTGATTTAACAATATTGTCGATATAAGCAGTCATAAATATGTTGTACATAAAAGTTAAGGTCGCAATAAACCGAATGACTACAAATATCTCTCGCCTCATCGGTTATTCGCCGTCAAGCGTAATGTACACAGTTGAGTCAAGTTTCGCTGACGGTGGGAGTTGGCGTGACGTGCTACGTGTCACGGCTACTTGTGCATGTAATTCATTAGCACCATTGAGAGAAACACCACACACACACACACACACACTCACACCAACCCTACACCGCCCCCCCCACCCACCGCGCGTCATCCGACGTCTCTCGCAGCGCGCATCACTCGTCAATATAAATCACCTCGAAACGCTGCACTTTCAAATCTACCTACTACAATATACACTGGACCGATCAACCTTATGCGTACGCAATAGAAGCGGGAATGCCTTGAACGTGTAAACTTCTCCCGATTTCGTAATCGCATTAGCGCCGCGCGACCTGTCGAAGGAATGTTTTAGGAGTTTGCTAACAGCTTACAAGTACGCGCTTGGTTACGAAATATCAGATAAAATTATCATCAGTCTGATTATGAATCAGGCTTCAAAATTAAACTCATACGTGGTTGATAATAGTTGTTAATAGACCTGAAACGAAATTAAATTCTTATTTTCTAGGCACTTTTTAAACTAATATTTTTGATACAAATAATAAATAATTATAATGCGAATAACACACATTCAAAACAAATGGGTAAAACATACAAAGGATGGTCATTTACTTATGAGATGGTAATTTTCTTTTAATTAGTTTTCTGAAAATTAATTATTACTAAATAAGTTGTTACTAATCAAGAAAGTTAATTACTTTCTTGATTAGTGAATCAACTGCGTGTTCTTTGTACTAAATTCGGTTTTCGGTGCAGAGTCGCATTCCGTCCAAGTGTATTATCGTATGTCTTATCACGAAGGGCCCTATCTGGGACGGGTCAGATAACCTGGTCGAGCTCGCGTATCCCGAGTCCGCTTAGTCCGCAGGTGCTGTTTCGATTAAACCGTGTAATATATGTAATTTTTTATGTGAAAATTTGTCAGAGATCAGATCAGGTTCACCTGACGTTAAGCGATAACCACAGCTCATGGACGAAATGCGAATGTATCACACTTCCCCTTCGCGACGGTCCTTTGTGAGGCCATGGTACTTCCGGAGCCTGCTCAGTCTCAAAAATAACAGAAGCCTTTGCCTGCTCCTAGCACAATTAAATATAACGTATGTTGCATCATAACTTGCATATTTTTACACAATATATTATGAATGAATCTCAATATTCGACATTCCCAGCCTCTATCGCCCTCTTCTGCATCATATATCAACGAATACATATACTCTGGTACTTACTATTTTTAAGCTATCCTCTCAGAATAGGAGTCCGTCGGTCATGTGTCGATATACGTTTGTCTAGGGTGTATCCTACCGACTCTCCTCGTCAGTCTGCCTCAGTCAGTTTCTTAGTTTTATCCATACAATTAGTTTAAGATGATTTTAATATCCTTTACTAGACATCATCAAAGAGAACCAAAGAATATTAAAAAGAAAGCAAATTAAATGCAAAATGTCTATGCTTCTTTTTAACCTCACTCCAATTTATTTATTTTGTTAATTCGTTTTTCGACGTTGCTAATGTAATGAACGTGCCAGAATTTATTTTAATCAAATATGTAATGATTGTAATACATCATTGAAATTTAAAATTATAAAAGGTGCCTTGAATTCGTAAAATTATTACGTTTGATACGTTTTGCTTCTTGAATTTTTAATATTTAAAATAAATTTCATTCTGAGAGTCGTGCGAATGTCAATTACAATACAAAATAAATTTGATAAATACACAAGAATTTTCGAAGCATTTATCACGTCTGGTATGTGCCCTTGACGGCAATCAATAGTTGCGTCCATAGAATATGACTCTTGAAACCGGTTTGTATGTATATGTATTTATAGTTAGAGATTTTAACTGAAATTGAATTCTTGATTCAACGTCACAGGACAGCTAAACACCTAATGTTTATTATGATTCTTTGATATCCATAGTAGAGGGCTTGTCCCAAATGTGCATGGGAAGATCAAAATAAGATCCCATACTTGACTTTTTGACATTTAAATAGTTAAGAATGCATTTTAAGGGATTGTAATGTTTTATCATGAACAACATGTCAATATTTCCTACGTCCATTGATGCTTATGGGCATGTCTGCGCGTACCGTTGAATGGCCACTAGAAAGTGACAACAATCAGGTACCGTAAAGAGGTTTCAATGAAGAAGCCAAAGCCGGACACCGGCCGCGCGCCTCCACTTTCACGTGTTTACGATGCTCCGTTCATGTTGCCAAGATCGAGCCCATGCTCCTTCAATAGTGCCGATCAAAAAGCTTTCGAACCCTACCCTTGTCCTCAACCTCAACCTGGACCTCAACTTTTCCGTTTTTTTTTTTCATTTTCATTCATTATAAATACTTAGAGTAATAAGTTCTCGAGGCAACGTTGTTTTATAGATCTGTCCCGTTCATTCCACTGGGAGACGGCTTGGCCGTTAAAAAAACAGGTGAACCATAGGAACTTAAATAATTGACGGCGCAGATCCCTTACTCAAAAGAATAGGACTGGAATCCACTAGTATTCGAAACTCTATATCCTGTTGGATTCCTTTACGCGAGCAAACGGGACAGCGACTAGGGATATCGCATGAGTAAGCGAGACACCTATAGTCGATCGGGATGCGGCGCACGCGCAGTCGCCACCGCGCCGCTCACTACGGCGCACTTCCGCCACACCTCACTCTCTTCGCTCAAATATTTCGAGTAAAAGCGGGCCCAACTGATGTCGGCGCGATGCTCCCAGCGGACGTGAACGAAATCAAAAATCGTGACTTTACGTGAACCGGATCAATACTGCGGCAATACAGCGACAATGGCCCTAGGCTCAACACGGCCACGGCGATAACGTAAACGGAACGAACACAGGTAGCTCATTTACGGTGAAAGTATTATTCAAATGTAAATATGTAAAAGTGTTGAACGATGTGTGACGGGGCGCGTCGGTGTCGCCCTATTCGTGGCGCGAAGTGATTTCTGGTGGGCAATTTTAAAGTCACAGTCACCGAGAGAGGGCTGTGTCCGGAACTTGTTCTGTGCGCGCCTCTAACTGTAGTTCGCCGCGCGGTTCCGCTCCAAGCCCCACAAGCCATTACTATGCTCAATTTCGGACGAGCCATGCTCAATGCATAACTATCTGTTCGTGTTAATTTTAAGTTGAAGGTTTTGGCACTGTCTGGGTTCCTCGTTATAATTTTCTAGGAGACCGTTCATCGCTCGGTCACAAAGTTAAAAGGTTCAATATAAAACGACTAATTGCATTTATTACCAAGCAAAACTTTATCATTTTTACCCTTTTTTTTATAGAATTAAAGGGACTAATGTTGACTCCGTTTCACTAAACTAATTGGGTTCCAAACGTGAAAGGTGATAAGCCTCCGTGCAGTACACCACGTAAAAATAATAATCCTAACCGCCGATAACATCAAAAATAAATTCATTTTTTTTTTTTACAGATAACATACATAAGGAAGACTTAGTGGGCCGTAATAAAGAGAGGGAGAGTGCCCGCCGATAATGATGTCGGGCCAGCCAGCCTGAGGCAGAGCGAGCATGGCGCAGCGAGGCGGGGGTCTGCGGGGCGGCGGGGGCGGGGGCGGAGACACGCAGAGGGCGCTCGATGAGTTCGAGCAGATGGCCGGGCTGCGGGGCCGCGCGGCCTACGTCCTGGAGCACCTGGCCACCTTCACTGTCACCAGGGAGACGGGCATCGTGTACCCGGCCGACGGAATGCGTAGGCTACTGCAGCTAGAGAAGACCAACGGTAAACGCACACGGGTTTCAACATTGTTAAGGAGGCACAATATCACACATGGCAAACCATTAAGAAAGTGGTTCTTTATCTAGACGAAACCGATGAAAGGCAAAAGTGTAAACACTTGTACTTTGAGCTGGTCTTCTATGAAGCCATGCTACTTTTTTAGTTATCGGAAGGTGCCATTTGGCATTTGGTGCTATAACAGTGACTAATCTCGCTTGCTAGCTGTCTTTGAGTCATGCTTAAAATCGTTGTTAATGCTTGTTTCAGGAATATGGAGTCAAAAGATGCAGTTATGTTTAGAGGATCAGTGGGTGCTTGTTATGGACTATGAAACAGGGGTATGACACTACTTATCTGTAAAATACTAACCTAGCTTAACTGTAAATTCCTTTTTTTCGTGACAAAATTCTTCATTCAATATTCAATATCAGCCTATTGCCGTCCACTGCTGAACGTAAGCCTCCCCCAAAGTGCGCCAACTATCCCGGTCCTGGGCAGCCCGCATCCATCCGCTGCCCGCCACCTTTCTTAAGTCGTCAGTCCATCGTGCTGCAGGCCGTCCCACACTTCGTTTTCCTAACCGTGGTGTCCACTCTAACACGTGTCGGCTCCAGCGAACATCAAAACGTCTGGAGACATGGCCAGCCCACTTCCACTTCAGCGTGCTAATTCTGCGCGCAATGTCGGTAACTTTAGTTCTCTGGCGAATGACTTCGTTTCGTATCTTGTCTGCCAGAGAAACCCCAAGCATTGCGCGTTCCATCGCCCGCTGAGCGACCTTGAATTTGTGGACCAGCCCCACGGTGAGTGTCCCCGTTTCGGCTCCGTAGGTCATTACTGGTAGGACGCACTGGTTAAACACTTTGGACTTGAGGCATTGCGGTATTGACGACTCAAAAACGTGTCGTAGCTTCCCGAATGCCGCCCAGCCTAAGCGTATTCTTCAGTTGGCCTCTTTCTCAAAGTTGTGCCGGCCTAGTTGTATAATTTGGCCTAGGTAGGTGTATTCCTGCACAACCTCAAGCATAGCGCCATTCACGAGCACTGGTCTCGGGATCACATGACTATTGGACATAATTTTCGTCTTGTCAAGGTTCATACCGAGACCCACTTGTTTCGAAGAATCGCTCAGGCTGTTGAGCATGGCTTCCAGATCTTGCAGAGATTCTGCCATGATGACAATGTCGTCAGCGAATCGCAAGTGTGTTATTAATTGGCCATTAATATTAATGCCTCGTCCGTTCCAATCCAGCGTCTTAAAGACGTCCTCCAGTGCATTGGTAAACAGTTTCGGGGAAATCACATCCCCCTGTCTTACCCCACGATGCAACTGGATTGGCCTTGTGCTTTGACCTTGTACTTGGACGGACATTGTTGCGGTCTTAAATAGACGTCTCAACACTTGGATATATCGACAGTCAATTTGGCATCTCTGCATGGATTCTAGAACAGCCCAGGTTTCGATTGTATCGAAGGCTTTTTCGTAATCCACATACGCTAGGCATAGAGGCTGGTTGTATTCCTCGGTCTTCTGAATTATTTGCCTAAGTGTATGTATGTGGTCCACTGTGCTGAATCCTTTACGAAACCCGGCCTGCTCCACCGGCTGGAAGTCATTGAATTTTTGGGCGAGACGATTCGTTATCACCCTCGAGAACAACTTATATATATGGCTCAGGAGTGTTATCGGTCTATAGGTTTTCAACAAAGTCTTATCACCCTTCTTGAAAAACAACATAACCACACCTCTGCTCCATGCCTCCGGTGTAATGCCATTATGGAGGACGGAATTAAAGAGCTTAGCCAGCTCCGCCAATACTGGTGTGCCTCCTGCTTTCAATAGCTCTGATGTAATTCCGTCCTCTCCCGGAGCTTTGTTGTTCGCAAGTTGTCTGAGGGCAATACTAATCTCGCCCATGTCGATGTCGGGAAGCTCGTCTGACAGGTGGCGTGTTAGTCTAGCTCGAGGATCATCCGCATTGTGGGAGTGAGGTGGAGGTACTTGGGAAGTATATAGGTCCCTGTAAAACTTTTCGACTTCAGCGAGAATCTCTGTCTTAGAGGTGACGGTGGTTCCGTGAACTGTTGTGAGTTTTGACAGGTGACCGCAGGAGGTTTGAAACTTAGCAAAGACTTTTGAGCCCCCGTTGCGCGATATAAGATTATTAATCTCTTGGGTCTTCGCTCGTCTACAATCTCGCCTTATTAGTTTCTTAACCTTTCTATTAAGTACCTGACGCTCAGAAGCTGTTATCACCTCTCGTCTGTTCTTCATCTCCTCCAGAGCCTCGGTTGAGAGCTTCGACTTTCGTCCAGTGCTCTTTGGTCGAAAATATTTTTCTCCCACTTCACGGATGGTCCGCGTTAGACTATTGGTGGCGTCGTCAATGTCCTGCGTGTTTTCCAGCAAGGCGAATCGATTTTGTAGCTCTAGCTGAAAATTTCTACATTCAGCTTCAACCTGGGGCAGTGATGGTCTCAGAGTCGCCTTCACCAGTCGCGCACGTTCGATCTTGATATTTATATTCAGGGTGCTTCTTACAAGACGGTGATCGCTACCGGTATTTACCCTATTGATCTGAGACTGAGACATCCCTGAATATATGGCGTTTATAGGATATAATGAAGTCGATCTCATTTTTAGTCACTTTATCGGGGCTAAGCCAGGTCCACTTTCTCTGAGGCTTTTTCTGGTAGTAGGAGTTCATCAGAAATAGCCCCTGATCCTCGAGGAAGTTTACTAGCATTTGCCCCCTGTGATTTCTGCTCCCATAGCCGAATGCTCCTACTCTCGATTCGCCATTCTCGCGTACTCCCACTTTGGCATTAAAGTCACCCATAACAACAGTGTAGAAGGTTTTGGTACGGGACATAGCTTTTGCTACGTCCTCGTACATGGCTTCGACGTCTTCGTCAGGATGTGAAGTCGTTGGGGCGTAAACCTGTATCACTTTTAGGGAGTATCTTTCGCTCACCTTTAATACGAGGTACGCTACCCTAGCCGACACACTGCCAACCTCTACAACGCTGCTTCTGAGCGACTTGTGTATTAGAAATCCGACGCCACCTTGGGATAGTTGATGTCCTTCTCGGAAGTAGAGCAAGTGACCAGCATCTAGTGCTATCATATCCTCGCCCTGTCTTCGGATTTCTGATAGACCTACTATGTGCCAGTTAATATGACTTAGCTCTACTTCCAGTTCGGCCAGGTGTTCGTTCAACCGCAGAGAGCGTCCGTTAAACGTAGCCAGGTAGAATCGCTTATACCCGGTACCCTGCCTTAGCCCGGGGATTCTTAGCACCCCCTGTCGCACCGTTACCATGACCGGTACCGTGGCCTGGAATAGTGCAACCACCGGGAACTGGGGGCCTTAGATCTGAGTTGGTTTTCATTGAGGGGAAATCTGCCTTAGTCACCACGCTTGACAGGCGGGTTGGTGACCGCAGTTGCTGGAATACTTCTCTGACGGCGCTGCTGCCCGCATTCAGGATTGATATTTATAGATTCCAGCAATATTGTATGGTTATACCGCCATGAATCGGTCGCCAGAGCCTCGTCCGTAGATTAGCAGGATGTACCACGTGCAGGTGAGGTTGACGGTAAGGCCCCCTTAGATGTAAGCTGCCCCCCTTACACCCCTTTCGAAAAAAATTCTTCATAGAGGCGATTAATCTTAAAGAGATTTAAATTAAATTTAGCACAACATAAGTATAGAAGTTTTAGTTTGTGAAAAGTCGCCGCATAAGGTAACGTCCAACGTAAGGTTTGTTCAACGTGCACAGTCCATAATGGAGCGGTTCCCGGCGTCGTACGTGCACTCGCCGACGGCGTTCACGTCGCCCGAGCCCGGCGAGCTGTACAACAACGTGCTGGCGTTCGTGGTGGGGGCGCCGGACGCGCGCCGCGAGCTCCACATATTCCAGTGCCACGACGTCGCCGCGCAGGCCCTCGTCGAGGAGCTCAACGCGCTCAAGTCAATATCGCACTACACTTTGTTGTTACACATAACATTCCATGGAACACTTTTTGAACTTAGGGGCCATTGGCTGTCGCCGTCCTACTGAACAATATTTGCTATATTTAACATTGTGTAAATAAACGTCGCAACAGTAATATAACTGGGAATAGAATCCTAGTTCCGTAACATGTAATCTGAGCCCAACCGGGTCCAACCCGCCAAAGCAAAACTTAACATTACCTAAATGCAATTACTTATACTTGATATCATATAAACATCATTTCAAGAGCCTATTGGTTAGTAATCTAATCAGATTGATACGAGGGCTAACCTTGCGGAGATGAGGTTTGACTCAATCGAGATGTGAGCATTGGTAGATACTCACGCGGAGCGATACGGAGCACCGAAATGATACACTTCAGACCAGGTGTCTTGCTGCCCGTATCTGCCTACACCTGGTGTGTCTTTGTAGCCCGTGTACTTTTAAAACCAGTGTTAGTCACCAATTAAATTATCTATACCTAGTGATGGAATTTTGCGTGTGTCCAGGGGTGTCGGTAGCGGCGCGTCAACGGACGGTGGTCGGGACTTCATCATAGAACGAGAAAGAGAGAGGGAAAGAGAAAATGAGATGGAAAGACCACGACGACAGGTGAGAGAAAACTAAATGCACTAAATACATGTTGAATACAATATCAGAGAGCTTCAATAAATTTATAGGATTGTGATTACTTTAAAATGAAGAAAATGTTATGATTCATTTCGATGGCGTCATCGCGTTATATTGTTTCTGGAAATAATTCGATATTATCGTATGTGCGTAACAATTTTATCACGTTGTTTATCCCCATCAGATAACAGTGAATAATCAATTTGGCTACATACTGATTAATGTAAATAATCTAAAAACTAAATTACCGCAATAGTGCTCGGCTGTTATTCAGTACTACCTACATATTTTGTGGCCAATTTGTGATCGAAGCCTTAATCAAAGAGATTATTATATTATTCATTGAGAGATAAATGGCTATCGGTCCCTTATCGCAGATAGTCACCGCCGCTCTTGGCTCTTGATCGTCGGTCGCGGCTGATTCTATGAGCGCGGGTGTTGTATTTATTAACCCTTCACGTTAAGCGATCATATTGCAATACAACAAACCGAGCCGCCTCGCATAGCGGAAGATAGCGGGGATAATCTCGATGGATTAGGCACGGCTTCGCGGCAGCGGCGGCGCAGTCGGGGGGCGGACGGCGCGCAAACATGGCGCCTCTCTATCACACTTACACGCGACAGCAATGGGACGCCGTGCTCGTCGTGAGTCTCCTTTGGCAGTGTAGAGGCGCGACGGACGCACATGGCGCGGGTGTGAGCGATTCGTTTGTCGGCAGCAAATGTCGGCGCAGCTGGGGCGCGGGGAGCGCGCCGGCTCCGGGGGCGAGAGGGACGACGCGTCGTCGACGGGCTCCGAGCGGCTGTACGAGCAGGACATCGCGATCCTGAACCGGTGCTTCGACGACATCGAGAAGTTCATCGCGCGGCTGCAGCACGCGGCGGCCGCGTCGCGCGAGCTGGAGCGGCGGCGGCGCGCGCGCGGCGCCAAGCGCGCCGGCGACGGCATGCTGGCGCTGCGCACGCGGCCGCCGCCGGAGCGCGACTTCGTCGACGTGCTGCAGAAGTTCAAGCTGTCGTTCAACCTGCTGGCGCGGCTGAGGGCGCACATCCACGACCCCAACGCGCCGGAGCTGGTGCACTTCCTGTTCACGCCGCTGGCGCTGATCGTGGACGCGGCGCAGGACGCGGCCGACGGCCGGCTGCCCTCCCGGGTGGTGCAGCCGCTGCTCACCCGCGACGCGCTCAACCTGCTCGCCAACTGCGTCACCAGCAAGGAGACCGAGCTCTGGCACTCGCTCGGCGACGCCTGGCTCGTGCCCAGGTACGCTCACCACACCACTTCGAAAAAATGTTAAAGTTAACGACAGTTACATGGATCTTGTGTTGGCACTGATTCTGCACAAATCATCATTTCGAAATCACAGTTTTTTCCCAATTTTGTTTGTGGGAAACCAAAACGTGGACTTTCATGCAAAATGTAAATACATGTGTCATGAACCTAAATTTGCACAATAGAGACGTGGCTAGATCATCCAAATATGTTTTCTGGGTAATAAGAGAGCCGACGGCATTAACTTAAGCCAAATTAGCCGTGATTGTACTTTAAAATATGTAGAAAAGTATTTGTGATTGTACTAATAAGAGCGATCGCGAATTTCAGGGAACAATGGAAGACAACGATTCCCCCGTACCAGCCGGTGTTCATGGACGGCTGGTCTCCGGACTACCAGGTGGACGAGCAGCCGCTGCGAAGGTGAGCACAGGGTCGTCTCGTGGCCTCGTGTGGTGTTCTGTGGCGTTTTGTGGCGTTTTGTGGCGTTTTGTGGCGTTTTGTGGCGTTTTGTGGCGTGTGGTTGACGTGTGCGTTCGCAAGGGCCTCGCCGCGGCGCGACTCGTCGCGGGGCGAGCTGCGGGGAGAGCCGCGGGAGGGCGCCGCGGAGAGGGGCGACGGCTACGACTACGAGCGCGACGAACCGGACATCTACACCGATCAGTATGGCTCCTATCCCAGGTATCAATTGCCGTCGCTTGTGTCTGTGCTCGCCTGAATGAATGTCTCTTCAAAGGATTCTTCGTTACGGACAGAGCTCGCAATACTTATTAAGAAAACCATTTTATCTCTGTTGTTTTTTGGTTACTGCCGCATTCAGCATGTACAACAACTGTGGGCAAACAGATGCTTTGCCCACCTTAATTGGAGTGGACTTCAGGATCACAAAACAGATTAGCAGCAAAAGCATTCACTTTCACTTCAAGAAGCCTGACCATTCTTGCAACAGCAGAAGCTTTTGTGTTAGCCTACCCTATTAAAACCTTCACAATTTACTCAAATCGTTTATGTACTTTGGTTATCTACCTATTTATTACATTGACTTGTAACAGTCGTAACGGTTTTACGATTACCCGTCATAAATGCAGAAATGAATAGAACAAGATCCAGCAGAAAAATCCGTTGTTATTAAACTACCATTTAAATCGCAGGCAAATATTAAGAAAGGGTTTTCGTGAATGCCACCCATTACTGGTTGAAATAGAGGTTAGTTACCGCCATTCCTATTTCGACGACCCAATTGGCGTAGTCGGTAGTGATTGTCTCTTGCACAAAATCCCCATATCCGTAAACGTTACAATCATAATATTTTTCTAGTTTCTTAGTGAGTATATATTTATATAAGAAAACTGTTATAAAGCGGGCTTGTACTCATAGTGCAAGCATTGCTTAAGTGTGACTTTATCACATACTAGCTGTTAACCGCGGCTTCTCCTGAGCGGCCGCGGTATTTTATTATAGACCAGAATATCTCGCAGATGGCTGAATTTTTTCCTACTTAGATGACATTTATCATTACTTATATTTTGTGCAATTTACACAATATCTTTATAAATTTTAGCCTATGTGTTATTCAGATGTATAATCTATTCAGTAATTTTTGTGTGACAGAGTCACAAGAAACATTTCATGTTTTGATTCCATTCATGTTTTGACTATGGTCCCGAGCGGTCTTCGTCTGAAACATTAGCGATAAGAGGAACACGGTGGTGTTGGTGGCGCAGGAACGGGCGGTCGGGTGCGCGCGAGGACTCCGGCTCCGCGGCCTCCTCGCCCGAGCGGGAGCCGCGCCGCGACGAAGGTGAGATACATACCCTATCCACACGGCGAATCGTATCGCCTAACAATTACGTGAACAAGGTTTGGCTATCATAATAAGTTTTAATTCTGCAATCAAGATGAAATCTCAATATGACTTAAATAGATCATTTATAAGAATTACACTTGATCCTTAACATATTGCTATGGTTTAAAACAAGATAGCGCTGCGATCGAGAGTTTGTGTGATTGGACCTTCCGCTGTGGCGTTGAGGGTATGTGCTCCACGACGCATCCCGTTCGAAGAGTCGTTGTTGGGCCCAGTCCTGTTCACGCTCAACACTAACTACACTAACGACATGCCGCGTGTCAAAAATGTAGAAGTCGCCCTCTTTGCTGACGACACCTGTCTATATACGTAAGGCCGAACGCCAAAAAAGATCCATCGACGCTTTCGGGCCGCGGCCATCGCCATCGGTGATTGAATCCGGCTTTGGAGGATCGAGATCAATCCCGCTAAAAGCGCGGTCGTCTACTTCTCTCACAAAAATGCGCCTAATCCTCCACCCGTTAAACTCATGGATAGTCCGGTTCCATGGGTAAATAAAGTCAAATACTTAGGTCAGCCAGCACGTGGCTCGGGTCAGGAACCGGGTGGAGTTGACCTGTATCCCCTTTTAAATAAAACTTCAAAAATGTCCCTTAGGAATAAGGTGACTTTATATTAGGGAGTAGTTCGCCCCATTATGACATACGCTATTTCACACATTGCCTCGAGGCAAATACACCGGCTTCACGGCATCGAGATTGGATTTTTGTGCAGAGCTACGGGAACACCGGGGTTCACTCGCGGGCGAGTGCGGCAAACATAAACTAGGTTCCGCCACGTACCTGGCAGGTTTTCCCCCGTTAATGATAGAAGCGTTGCTGGAGTTTCTTCCACCACTTCTTCTCCCAGCGCCAACGCTGTCCGAAGTGGTAGTAATGATAGATCTAGAAATTCTCCACCATACTAATAAGTATTACTTACCTTACTGCTACCGATCGAGCCTGCCCTCTCGGGCACCCTCGAATCGGAATGCTAAACGGGTATTGAGTGACAGCCCAAGCCGAGGTCCCTTCTCGGGGGCTCTTGAACGTAGTCGTCCCATGGAGCGTTCACCAAAGCGCCCTAAGAGCTTGGTGGCCTCCCAAACCGGTAATGATAATAATAGCGCGACGGCCCGAGCCGACTCCCTCGAAAGCCCTCTTAAGCTTAGTCACCATAATGCGTAATAATAATACGCCGAGGTTCAGGCTAAGCGCCCCGAGCGCCAGGCCACCTCAAGCCCGTCGGATCTGTAAAAGCCAAAAAATAGAGAATTTAGTCGTAGTTATTTAGTTGTAGTGGTTTTTAACTATTCAATTCTCACAACTCAGCTTCGATTCTTTAAATTGTAAATTTCTTGTAGTTAAAAAACTTTCAATGCTGCGTTCTATCTACGTTCGTTATATTGCATTTTTAATCCGTTATATGGTTTTTAGCTTAGCGCGATTTAGTGTGCATCCTTTAGAGTAAACAACAGCTTACAAAAAATATTTAACGGTGAATATTTGTAGCAAGAGATATCGATTCTTTAGCTCGTCGTAGTTTCACTGAAATCGGGCCCGGCTATCCCACGAGCCCGATGAACCATCAAGTAAAGTTAAAGCATTGAAAAAGTTAAAGAAAATCGTCCGCCCCTGGGCGCAGACGAGCTGGGCGAGGCGTGGGCGCGCGGCGTGGCGGCGCGCGGCGGGCGCGTGGTGCGCGTCACGTACCCGCGCACCGCCAACAACGACAAGGAGCTGTCCGTGGTGCGCGGCGAGTTCCTCGAGGTGCTGGACGACTCGCGCAAGTGGTGGAAGGCGCGCAACCGCCGCGGCGTGGCGGCCCACGTGCCGCACACCATCGTGGCGCCCGCCTTCTCGCCGCCCTCCTCGCCGCACCTCTACCCCAACCCCATCTACTCGCTCTACCAGGTGCGTGGCCGCCGGCCGCCCCTAACGCGAGCCCGCTCGCGACACAGTTGCAAATCCTACCTTCTTTCTTTACATCTACCTGCCTTCTAGACCGTGGTTCCTCCTCGATGCGACGTGTCCGTTTACTCGTTGCAGGACGGTGGCGGGCGCGGCTCCGGCGGCAGCAGCCCCACCGGCGCTCCGGGTAGGGCGGGGACGGGCGCGAGCGGTGCGGGCGGTGCGGGGGGCGCGGCGGGCGCTGGGGGCGCTGGGGGCGCGGCGGGCCAGGAGCGCGGGGGCGCGGGGGCGCCCGCCGCCGCCGACTGGGTGCGCCGCGAGCGCCTCGGCAAGAAGGGCGAGTTCCGATACTTCTAGCGCACCACGCCACTGCCCCCCCCCCCCCCTCTCCCCTCCTCCCCGCTCCTTGTCCACAACAACAACAACAACCCGAACCCAGCTATTGCGCATTGGGAACACTGCAGGCTCCGAGTCCCCTCGAGAGCTCGCCTTTCTCCTGCTCCGCACCACCGACATCCTCGACAAAAGCGCAAGTATATGTATTCCCTGTGCTATCCTTCCAGACAACGCTTATTAAGTCATAATTTATAAATAGACATAACGTAGTACATACGAGACAGGTGAGATCGTGGCCAATTAAGTATCGGAACTCGTCGTGATGCGCCGCAGCCCATTGTGTTTGTGTGGATAATGAGGCCTCGAGCCGCGCTGCATTGTTGTGCATTTGTGCGTACCACTAAAACGTTTGTGCGTGTCCGTGTGCTCACGTGGCGAAGTCATACGGCTGCTTGATGTTTGTTTTATATGGATTCCTAACGGGGCTTTTAACTACACTTCAGTATAACGTACACTATACACGTCCACTGTAACCAGCTAAAGCTCTGTAGTTGACATACTTGTGAGTGAGCTAGCAGTGCGAGTCCTCCAGCAGCCGCGATGTCGCAACTCCCAAACAATCCACGTACGTATCAGCCCAATCTAGTATAGATATGTTACAGACAAGCTCACCAACAAAGGTTATGTAACACCTGCGCTGCTAGTTAAATTGCAGGAATAAAATGTGTTTATTTAATTAACTTGTATACGGAAGCTCTATACTTAACTGTAAATTTGTACCAACTTTATTATGTACTTGTTTTATCTACACAGAGTCTATAATCGTACAATTAGTCGTATTTAAATTATTACTTTATATTACAAAATATTATACTTGGTTCATACTGTAAAGCTATGATAAAAAAATGTTAACATATGTTACGCGCGGAGTGGGCTGCACGTCGAAATCATAATTAGTTAATCCTAAGGAATAAGAACTATTTTGACTTCATTTACTGCGTCATTAAGAAATATGATTATCATTGCATTATAATAAATTATCACGGCGATAGTTTTTCTTTATTTAAGTTATACTGGTATTACAAGGTTACTTTTTCTGTGTTCTGTTATAGAATCTCGCTCGGATACCTTAATCAGTTATGTCTCCATTTGCGAGTGATTCTATTGACCTGATTCAAACCAAATATATTGTCGATTAGACGACGGGAACATAGTGCCTGGTGTGTTTGGCGGCGCCCACCCCGCGCGGCCATCGCGTATACTTGTATTTTACATTTTTATAAATTAAATTCTTTATAGCATTGTGGTTTGTTCTCTTTACGTCTCCTAAGTTCCTACTATTTCCTTTGCCGCTAGTAGAACAACTATTTGTTAGAATTATTAAATGAAAACAAGTAGTTTGAGATCTATTTTCAACAATTTTGAAAGATAATTTCTAAAAAGTTCTTTTCCTTTCTATATTCTCAAAACTTACGTAGTGGAAGATACATGTGTTTGTAAAGCTTCGCTTCGTGGTTGTGTGTTGATCCTAGTATAGTCTGTGTTAGTGCTAATGGGTGGTATACACGCTCCAAACGCTACTTTTTATATGTCGGTAAGTTTTGGTAAGTTTCTTACGTTTCCCATTAGACGTTGCTTGTATGTGCAATACGCATTGACATTTTTATAGTAGCTTTTTGATTTTACCTTGAATTGACAATGGAATTCTATTGCGAAGTAGAAACAAGGTTAAAACAATAAGTGGTTCCCCTGTGCAGAGGAGCCGGCGCCTCCGCCGCCGCCGCCGCCCCCTCCGCCCCCGCCGCCCGTCACGCCCCCGCCGCCTGCCAAGACAGACACCATCAAATGTGAGTAATACATAATTCAACTCCTATGTTTTGCATCTATCTAGTATGTACCAATACTTTATTTTTTGTTTAATAGCAATGCTGGCCATGGTTAAGAGTATTAACGATATTAAGGTTGCACACCCATAAATCTCTCATTACAAAACTTTTGATCGAATGATAGACAATTAGAACAAAACTTAAAAGCATCAAACTCGTGGAATGTGGCTATTTCTCGAACTCTGCGTTCGGTTAAAGGGAACATCGTTAAATAAAGATTAAGATAAAAGACAAAGCCTGAGTTATATGGAAGACAGTGAAGGAAAAGGTTGTTTGAAAAACGAAGCGTTCCGTCATAATTAAAACACAAGTATCGTAGGTAGTAACTTAAGTAAACAGGAGAATGGAGAGACTCGGGGATGGAATGAAGGTTGGTTAGTGCACGCAAACTACGAAACCGGCGAGCGGGATCGTGCTTTCAAACAATTTTGTTGACAACGGTACGAGACCAGATGTTAATACTATGGAGGTTTGACAATTAAAAGAATGCACTTTTCCAGCACACACTGTATTTTCATACATAAGGTTTTTTTTTTAAATAATCGCGGTTAATGTTTATTATAAAGAACGATCCCCAGCGTTTCCCGTGAACCATGGAGGCTGTGGGATTCGGAATGTCGGAACTCAAACTTTGAAATAATTCATAGTCGATGAAGAGAATAATTAAGGACTGCACTAGCATTACAAAAAAGTTTTAAAGGCGGAAGATATTTCGTAAAATTCCAATAAATTTCGAACATGCATACAACTATGTGACATGCGCACACGTGCTGACAGGCTCACGACAATATGTGGGCTTGTAAGGCCAACGTTCAATATCCTATCCCTCTTAGTGAACGCAATATCTGTAGTAGAGCTCTAAATCATCGGAATACGCAGAACACGAACTTTAGAGTGACAAGACTAATCTAAACGGTAAATAACAAAAAAGACGTACTGCCTTGACGCCCACTAAGTATTTCATTGCCATACCACCAATATTTACCAACAATATTATATATAAAATAATGTGAAAAAACTTCTGGTGCCCACAAATATAACATAAAATTAATCCAGTGTATCGGTGATCATAAATTCTAGTTCAAAACAAATTATAAAAGCTTTCAAAAAGCCAACTAAAACCAACATAGTAATCTTGCTGGCTTCCATTCCCTTTCTAATATTAACAAAAACATTCAAAAACGCGTAACTAGTGGCATTACTTATTTGAGAAACTGACATAATTACGAGTGTAGGTAGTCCTCAATCAGTAAACGAAGAAGAAATATAGGACCCAAATTACTGAGTGATTTGATCATTAGACAAGGGAGGTCTAAATTCTTACCCGAAAAGATCCTGTAAACCTGTTCTTGTAAATGAAAAAACTCTATTTGCTAATTTTTATATAATAATTATTATATAACCAGTTGTTTCGAGAAAAATCGTAACGTTCCTCGACTGTGCCACGATTGTACTTACAGTTGAGGTCCTTAGAGCTGCGCGTGAAACCGCAAGTTCTGTAGTATCTTTATTTGCCATAAATTTAGTTTAATAGACATAACGACGGAACTATCTCGGAATATATGAAACTTGTAATTTGTACAACAACAAAACAAGAGGAGCGTTCACTGACCACCCTCAATGATGTACGCAGCGACCAAGTCCACGAAGTCCACTGGCAGCGAGCTGCAGGACGAGCTGAAGGTCGTCCTGCCACAGATTCAACAGCGGAAACTTGATTTTAAAAAAACTCCCGACATTTTTATACACCAGGTGAGTCGCTTTGCTCCTCGATTAATACAAACAATTTTTAACTAAATTATCAGTATGCCATGGTAGTTTGCTTAGGTAAAGGCGTCTCGTTATTTATAATTTGGCGCTTATAGTTGACTTTATGCATATATGTATATTATGACGTGTTCATTTTAACAGCAACGTATAAGGGTAGAATTATATGTATTTTGGTACTTTTAGTGACCCCGACGTAACTTTAAGACCGTTTTATAAATCGCAAGAAAATTGTCACGAAACGATTTTTGTTTCCAAAGAAATATTTTTAATAATTTTGATTTCTTTCGTAAATTGGAACATATTAATGTAAAGTGGAACATAGAACATAATTCATTACGATGTAGACAAATAGGTGAGGAATTATGTTCCTTTGCTTTACGCTATTTTCTAAATGTTATATTACTTTTCAAGGACAAGCGAAGTAGAAATTTACCTTCGCTACTACGGCAGTTATACAACGCAGTGCTTGAGCCCACAATAGCTAGGCTATTGCCGTAGACTTGGCACCAAAAAATCAGTTCACACTTAAAAATTCCACTACACCAGATGGTGTAGATGTCCTCTGAAACTATGCAGACAGTCAAACCAAAAGCAATTCGGCCACTAAAGTAATGCAACACGTCGCATTTAGAAATCCAACCCCGACGAGGTGGTGGAGTGGCTGGAGGCGAAGGGGTTCTCGGAGACGGCGCAGAGGAAGATGCGCATGCCTGGCCACCAGCTGTTCGCGCTGGGCCGCGCGCACTTGGAGCGGGCGCTGGGCCCCGACGAGGGCAAGCGCCTCTACAGCCAGGTGCTGGTGCAGCGCAACGTCTCCGGGGTGAGTTGCGCCAGCACCGAGAGCAGCAGCTGTGCCAGTGTCAAATTATACTTTTCTTTCTTTCTTTTAAATAAGCTGCAGTGAGCTTTATTGTGTTAAAAGACGAGACCCTTTTCCCGTGTGCCACAGTACAAGACTACGTCCGCTTCGGAGCTGCAGAGCATCCTGCGCAAGGTGCGGGAGAAGGTGGAGGTGACGTGAGCCTCGACGCAGTTGGCTCCTCGCGATGCTGACCCTCGTTTATGATGCTTTTACCATTTTTAATTATACTACATTAGGGTGTACAATATTAAACAGTTTTGTATTTAATGTTAATTTTATATCAGCTTATTTTTTTATTCGGCTTAGCTTGGTTTGCATAAAAAAATATTAATTAAGTTAGTTTTGCGTATTTATTGTAAGATGCTGCTTTTATTAGCGTTTTATTTAATATATTATCTATAGCCCCGTGTGTTCTAATTGTTACAGGAAAATTATTTTTTAAGACTTGTACTTAAAAATGTGTATGTAAATTTTCCAAATAAATAAAATTAAAGTAAGTAAAATTTAATTAATACCCTAATTGGAAGGATTGGAATATTAGAAATGAAGAGAAAATGAAATACAATTAATTTTGAAGGTAACCTCCACTATATATTGACAAACTGATGGTGTAGAGTATACGTGTAAACCTGTTATGGTCTTTTTTAATTGCAATGTTTCTTAGAAAATTTAAAATAATATAATAATACTGTACACAATATAGACATGACTTATACGATTCTGAAACGACATTGGATTCATGAACAGTTAAAAAACGAGCCATTCAATCACCTAGTTATTTTTAACCCTACGAGGTACGTTGAGGAAAAAGAAACAACGCAATACGTGTATAAAATTTGTATATTATATTCAACGCTCTCAACATTATATTAAAAACAATAATATAATAACAATAAAAATAATCAATATCCTTAAGTAGTACAATAAAGCTGCCACTATTTTATACTACTAAACTACCTACTACATCTGTAGGGCACACATTAATTTACCACATTCCTAATGTATTATTACTATGTTGTAGGCTATACAGGAGTTATTAATAGGCAAAATGCATGAACTAACAATTTCAACTCCGGTTTCATTTTATTTTTATGACAAATTGGATTTTTTACCTTCAAATAGGTTGAAATCTATAAAACCCTCCAAATTAATGCTCTTGATTCGAGCCTGATTCAAATTCTTAATCATACTTTGAACAATGTAAAATTTTTGGTTTGTGATAAGTTCAAGAAAATGAATAGTCACAATATAAAGAAAATAGTATTTAGCAATGACAATTGTATAGGTACACCATTATGCTTAAACTTAATGTACGATGGGACGTGTGATATCCCTCATGATCTATTCTGGGCAGATTGCGAGACATCCATGATGTTATAATCTAACTCAATTAGGAACGGAAGGGAGTTTCGCGATTAATCCAGATAAAATTTTATTTCAATCGGAGAGGAGAGAAGAGTTTTAGATGAAATAATTTGAGGGCTAACGCAGACTGAAGACGCGATGAAAGCTTACTGTTTTAGAATCGGAGTGATATGGTTCATGAATGACCTAAAACAAACATTTTTTTCCTGTAGGATTATTAAAATAGAAAAATATTGTTTTACGTGCTACTTTAATTGTAGAAGATAATGCAGTCTTAACAAAACTATGTATTACCAAAATATGGCACAAAGGTACGATATAAATGTTAATCAGAACTGTGGCTTCATCCTTGAATTACCACTAGAAATGCATATGACGTACAACTTTACAACTAGCTCGCCTTGCCCGTGCCTAAAAGCGGCCTAAGGTGCTAACCAATCACACACACACACACACACACACACACACACACACACACACACACACAGACACGCAAACGCACTCAAAAACCCGTACACAATTGTCAAATCACACTAATCACAAACTAATCACAGTCACATTATTCAAAAGTCTGGCCAATTTCCTTACAAGAATGTGTCTCGCCACCCAATGATAATTCATATTCATTAAAATTACTTTCTATTAATATATCTATGTGTATGTATATATATATATATATATATATATATATATATATATATATATATATACATACATACATATATATATATATATATATATATGTATGTGTATCTCACTGGCGCCCGCACTTCAATGAGTATAATAATATCTTTAACTAATTATGGTCCTTAACGTAAACACTCTATATTTAAATGATTGCTTCATTTTGGAAGTTTCATAACGATTTCACTAGAAATTTCATTCCGATGTTGCTATCTTCTTCTGATAATGTATGAGCAAATGCTCTTCCTCGAATAGCGTGTTGCTACAATGGTTTTCAGTAATTTAAACCAACTTATTTTGACGAATTGAGCCCTCAGCCCTTTAGACCCAAGCGGAATGTCTCCTTATCGGCAAATTACAGAGGCGGTCGATATGTACGTGATATACTCGAGGCATTATATGGAAAATATAATGATGAGGTTTGCCATGGTTTAAGAAAAAATTCGGTTAGTGTTGAAGAGAAGGTCCGGCTGGGCGGCTTGGCGGTGTGGGCTGGGCGGCGCGCGTGTGCTTGGCGTCGCGCGCCGCCACTCGGGCTGCGATGGCGGCCGTCAGGGCGGAGCCCTTGCCGCTGCCGTCCTCGGCCTCCAGCAGCGTGAACTGTGCACAGAGTTATTCCATTCTCAATTGTAGTGCACTTGGCATTGCGAACATGTGAATAAATAACTATTGATTACCGATTACTACATTTAACAACAGCGACCAAACAAAGAAAGTAAACTAGCGACCCGCCCCGGCTTCGCACGGGTGCTATGTATGAAACATATAAGCCTTCAGTTTAAATCACTATAGTAAAAAAAACGCGTCACGATCAGTTGCGTAGTTTTCAAGATTTAAGCATACATAGGGACAGACAGACTGCGGGACTACTTTGTTTTATACTATGTAGTGATGGTGAAGTGACTGCAAATTGTTCTTTTTTAAAATAATCACGGATGAAAGAGCGAAGGAATTTAATTTGAATTAATAGGTTCCGGGTTCGCGCCAAGACAATTTCACTAAGCTAAACGGCTGATTGCCACACCAAAGAAAATCTCAACGTATTTTATCTATTCGTACAATGTTTTTTCGCATTTTAGGTAATGCTCGCGCATCTATTGTGAGTAGTGCATCTTTCATAACGATAATTCGGACGCGAGATGTTGCCATTACTATATTAAAATTATTTTTCTAGTGTTTACTAGCGACCCGCCCCGGCTTCGCACGGTTGCAATGCTGAATGTTTGTTTTCGACATCGCACTAGAAACCTCCAAAATTATCAGTGTTTCTCTATTGTACATATCTATTATACATGAATTATACTTATAAGCCTTCCTCTTGAATCATTCAAAGTCAAAGTCAAAACTTATTTATTCAACATAGGCTTATTTTAAGCTCTTATTGAACGTCAAAAACTACCACCGGTTCACCAAACTAGACCTGCAAGAGAAGAACCGGCAAGAAACTCTGCGGTCATATATTTATATTTTTTTTATTTTATTTTTTTCTATCTATTCATTCTATCTATTTAAGAAAAGCGCATCAAAATCCGTTGCGTAGTTTTAAAGATCTAAATAAATAAATATTTAGGACACATTCTTTTTACACAACGTTCTCTAGTCCCAAACTAAGCAATGCTTGTACTATGGGTACTAGAAAACTGATAGACATACTTAAACATACTTTTCTTTTGTAAATAAATACACATTATACCTACATAATCACCCAGACACTAGAAAAACACTATGCTCATCACACAACATTTTTCCTGTAGTGGGGATCGAACCCACACCCTCTGGCGCAGAAGGCAGGTACACTACCGACTACGCCATTCGGGTCGTCGGTAGTATCTAGGCATAATATATAGGGACAGAGAGACAGCAGGACGACTTTCTTACTTATATTTATACTATGTAAGGCAAAAAAAAAGCATGTCTGTTGTATGTGAGCTCCACTTAATTATAGCAGTAACAGAAATACATCATTTGTGAAAATTTCAAATGTTAAAATATTACGGTTGATGAGATACAGCCTGGTGCCAGACGACAGGCAGGCAAACAAGAAGGCGGACAGACAGATAGACAGACATACAGCGGAGTTTTATTAATAGGGTCCCGTTTAATCCTTTGGGTACGGAACCCCAAAAAGGAACTAAAATGGACGGTACGAATTTTGTTGAAAAAAAAAAATAGAAAATCGATATATTAGACAGGCATAAAGATTAAAATTTGTAGAAAAAGTACGAAAAATTTGTCGCCGCTGTGGGAATCGAACCCACGTCTTCTTGAGTTTACTTAAAATTAATTTTAAACATTTTCACCGCTGCCAAAATGCCAACCTGCGTCTTCTGGGTATCACATCCAGACTTTCTATACAGGGATTATGCAAGGTATTTTTGAAAATGGACTCTACGATATAAGTATTGAGTAAGGTCACATAAAATTTAAGTACGTCTTAAAGCCGCTAGACATCCGACATGGAGTTTAGCGACTGACTTACTTGGGTGGCACCGGTTATCTGGGAATGTTTTGAGCGTGCAATAGAACTGTGGGTGGTGCTTACTGGGTGGTGGGGCGCCAGGAGGGCGATGTACTTGTGCATGAGCATCTGGATGCGCGGGTGGCGCTTGAACACGGAGCCGTCCACGGCTATAGCCACGCGCGGCCGCCCCATGCGCCGCAGCAGCCAGGCCACGCCTGACGATAACCGGTCACACGTATATGGTTACATATTATATATGCGGACTGAAACTCTTCCGGTTTGTTACTATTTTATGTTATGACGGTTCACCTGATGTTCGCCCATGGGCATGGACAACCTTTAGGAAAAGTGGGGCGAGGTTACCCCACTTCCACTTTAGTACCGGTCTTCTGGAAGGCTGAGGTACTTCCCCGCACAACCGCGTCCATTCGTGCAGTAGCAAATGCTGTTGCTTAATAATGAGTGCTAACTTCTAAAGCATTCTATGGAGTCGACGCACCGCACACACAAACAAGGACGCACAGACAAAAGAGTACGTTCAACGGTTGAGTGGGCACTCACAGACGGAGACGAGTTGCGCGGCGCGGTTGGAGATGACGCGCGCGACGTGCTGCGCGACGAGCGCGTCGGAGCGCGTCACGTGCGCCCCCCCGCACGCCCCCTGCAGCGCGGAGGCGGTGCGCCGCCACTCGCCGCGGCAGTTCTCCCTGCGAACGACACCTCCATAGTCGTTATCGACATAACTGTGATTGGGCAAAGTCAAATATTATACATAAAATATTTAAACGCCTGTAACACAATTGCTCTACATTTAAAGTAAATTGTTAGTGATTCCCAGTCACTATATGCGGGTATGGCTCATTTGGGAGTAACAACTCACTCTTCGAACATGCTGAGATGCGCAGAAGTGAGGTCGGCGGGCGCGGCCGGAAACAGTTGGTCCCGGGCCAAGGCGCTCAGCACCACGCGCAGCAGGTCGCCCAAGTACTTGCCCCCGATGTACTTCTCGAACCTGGAACCGCGTGATTCTCGTAAGCGACGCTGTTATACGTGTCCGATATGGATCGGGAGAGGGGCGGTGCTCACGTGAAGGAGGCGGCGAGCAAGGAGCCGTCGTCGACGGCGCGGTCGAAGTCGGTGCGCAGGAAGCGCAGGCAGCCGTTGTCCCCGAAGGCGCCCCACTCCACGTCCACGACCACGTCGCGCACTCGTTCGTGCGCCGTCTCCCAGTGCTGCACGCGCGCCGCGCGCTCCACGTAGCAGCCGTTAGAGCCCGTGCCCAGGATCACGCCGATCTGCGCCGACACCCGTCTTTACTCTCGGTCGGAGCGCAGCGTGGCCCAACTGCCACCTCATCAATCCTCCCATTCAGAGCGAATGACAATCGCTACGGCAACACTCAAATATCATCAAGGCCTCACCCCTACGTCGGGGTCCCGCTGCGCGCCGGCCACCAGGGTGCCCGTGGTGTCGTTGAGCAGCACCTGCACGGTGACCCTGAGCCCCCTGGCGTCCAGGCAGCGCTGCAGCAGCGCGGCCACGTCCACGTGCCGCATCCCGCCGCAGCAGAACGACTTCGTCCACGTGAGCAGCTCCCCTGACGAGATCGAGTGCTGGCGCATCGGAAACGAGAACGTGAACCCTGCCGAGCCCATGACACAACATTTACATTGCGTTACGTTTAAAATAACGTATAATTATTTACATTGAAACAAAAAAAAAAGAATCGATGAACTGGATATTCGTTAGAATTCATATACAGAAACGACAGAGTAGCTCGCACACACGACTTTTTAATCAGAATGATGAATCGCTAATCGAGACGGTTACGTTACATAAGAGTTGAGCTCAATTAACTGCCAACGAGGCGGACGCTTTATAGATCGATATCGAACTCCACAGCAGACAGACAAGAATTTTATACTTCTGATAAGGTTTTTAAAAATTTTTGAATGCTTATTTGATAAGAAAAACTCTTTTATTCTTCAGTTATCGACAATTTCGAAAATAATCAACGATTGAATGCTCATCAAAAGTCAAAATTTCTTTATTCAATATAGACTTAAAATTATCAACGGGTCACTAAATTGGACCTGCCAGAGAAGAACCGACAAGAAAGTCTGCGATCTTTTACCTTTTTTTTATATATAAATACACAAAATCATTTAAGTATCATCAACAGCAGGCAGAGAACTTGCAAGTGCATAGAGCAAGAGTAATTTCGACAAATTCCTATCCTCAATGTATTCTTCTATTCTTAGACCTTATCATAGGCCCTTGAATCACATTAGGATAACTTTAACAAAATGTTTGAAAGTGTTCACTTAATTATTTTTGTTGGTATATCACCTATTTCATTATAATAATGCATCAAACAAGAAATTATTTTAATTATTTTTGGAGTAAGTCTAAATAGTCTCTAGTGTCAGAACGGCTCCGACGCCATGGGGTATGTTTTTGGTAAAAAAAAGGAAATTTTAGAGCATGTATAGCGACAGGAGCGTTTCACGTTTATTTGTTCAAAAAGGTGCCGTGGTGACTCATGTGGGCCCAAACCATAGTCAGCCCGTATCACTCGTTTTTGCAATACAAGGAAATCACGAAATGCGATACGATGTCCACAGACTGAATAAACAGCTACTCCGCAAACTGCTCCATGGAGTAGTTTTAGATGGTCAGTTTTAGGCGTGTTCGCGGTTTCTGGTTCTCTCTGTATTCTGAGTATGAGACTGTTAAACTAGTTTAACTAATTAAGACTTTTCGTAAGACAAACTTTACCAAGCGACAGATGCTGGTGCTCCAGGTTCTCGCACTGCAGGAAGTCTTGGACGCAATCGGCCAAGAAGTTGAAGAGGTCCTCTCCAGGGCCGAGGCGAAGAGAGTCACTGGAGTAGTTAAAACAGTAAACGTCAGCGATTGAGTAATTTTGTCGACGTGTAAAAGTATCGCCAATATATAAAAAAACAATAATATTTCATTATAATATTAAAATATTTTTTTTAATTTACATTTAAAATGAAACATTTTAATAGTACAAATGAGTTTTAAAAATTTTACCCCGCGGGCTCAAAATATAGACGTTTAAGCTTTTTAAAAATGCCACCTTTAATTTTTGGTAGTTTTCACTTTGCGTAGGACGCAAAGATACGATTTTTCCTACAAAATGTTAAGTCCCACATAAAACTAGTAAAAGAGCTAAACGTATGATTTCCAAATTCCATCCTTATCTAACGGTATAAAGATTGTATCGTAGGCCAACCTGACGTGATATTGTTTGACCTTCTCTCGGACCAGCTGCCCGCTGGCCAGTTCCAGCAGCAGGACGCGGAAGTTTGTGCCGCCAAGGTCCAACGCCAAGAACACACCCTCCTCTGCAGATCATGAACAACATTACTACATTTTCTCGATTCTCTATTTCTATATAATACGAGTATGTATAAAATATCAACCAGTACTTCTGAGCAATGCACTTAATGGGTTGATGGAAAACAGTATGTGAAAGGCGAATAGAATTCGCACGTTTTTAACTAACACTTAAAAAAATTCGCTACAATATTTCTAGTAATTTCCTTCTTAATTATGAGTAAATGAGAAAACATTTGCACTAGTTTTTGTAGATAAACTTAGTACATCTAAACTATAGTAAGAATGGCCCTTACAGTGGCAGATAGCTAGTACGTAGTAGTAGAATGACTTTATTTTAGATAAAAAAAGAACTTTGAGAATCGGTCCACAAATGGGGGAAAAATCGGCGAACATACATAAAGTCGAACATAGAACATCCTCCTTTTTTGAAGTCGGTTAAAAAATAATTAGGTTTTAACGCAAAAAATTTAAAACAATACAAATAAGTTGCATTGGCTAATTTGTATATATGTAAATAATTAAACTTTTTAAATTCTGCGCACTGATCCAACATATTTTGGTAAACACGCGGACAAAGTCGCGGGTAACAATAACTTGTTAATAATTAATTTATATAAGTAAACTTAAAAAAGTAAAGTGACAGCCTATATATGTCTTACGGCTAGGCAATGGCAGATGGTATTACTCTGTACAGATGGTATTAGGGCATAGTCCACCACGATCCCACTGCAGATTGGCGGACTTCACATACTTCATTATATAACTTCGAAATATTTTTTTTATTATTTGGAAAATATGCAGGTTTCCTCAGCATGTTTCCCTTCACCTCTGAGCACGTGATAAGTCAGCATTTAAAAATTAACAATATCATTAGTACCGGCATTGGGGAACGAACTCAGGTGGCTCGAGTTAACTAATCAATAAGCTATCACGGCTCTACTTCAAACTTATTTTTATGTTATGTTTTCTTAAATTTATCATTCATTATCTCTTAGTTTATAGTTTATAATCAGCCTATAAACATTAAAAGTAAACAATTATACCTAACATATTATTATAACTGACTTCCAAAAGTTACCAATAAAAAAACAACGATGATAAAGCGAACTCGCGTTACCAATTGACTATTTCAATAACATGTTTGTGTTGTAAGGTCTCTTCATAATTTTGTAGAATTAATTTATGCGTAATACATAATGTAACAAATATATTTTTTATTGGTGATAAAAGGAAAAAAACATATTTTTTTCTCAATGGCTTTTCATGCTATCGCGTACTAGCATAATAAAATATTCGACAAATTACAACAGGACATGTACAAATTGGTATGTGGTTTGTTTTCAATGGTGTAAGTGACCTGATGACTTTTTTGCATGAGGCTTAAATGGTCCTCTATTGTCGAACTTATTGAGATGTCGAATTGTTCACCCCTTTATTGCTTCTCAATTGAACTGTCCATTGGCGAATCTTTATGTATGATCATGGAATGATTGATATCGTGTCAAATGCATTTTTTTACTCTATGTTCTTATTATATCATATTGACGCGTTTGTCCATCGGACACGAGATCAATAAGAATTGTTAACGTCACACGCATTGTAACATACAAAAATCGATCAATGAATCAAATATCCGTAATTCATTAAATTGACTATCACTCCTTGACAATTTTTGGATGTGAAATATGTATCTAGTGGCGCATGACAGTAAATTTGTCTGGTTTGTCGTCACGTCAAAGGGCATGACGCTCTGATGCCATTATGCCATGATTATGTGTACCCACATAATTATACTAAACGTTTCCTGGTCTCTCTGTATAAGCTGCGTACTATTTTTATCGGACTACAGTATACTTATCACGTTTATTGCTCGTATAAACGTATTGTATTTTCTTCCTTGAGATCGAATATAATTGAACGTTGAAAGTTATTAAAAAAATCTAATCTGTCACATTATTCTTTATATTATTACTAATAAAAAATGAATAACAGTAAGATCAAGTGAACAAGAAAAAGTTTCAACTTCTTTGCTTTTTATAAATACCTATATTCTGTAATTATTATTTTAATCAAAATAATAAGAAGAATATATTTGTTTATAATCTTCATTCAATATTTTACACATATTTCCTCTATTTATGTTTTAATTAAAAGTTCTTAAATTAACTTTAATGTCATCTGCCCGGCGTCCCGTGGCGGCCTTATTTATTCAACAATCTCTCTCATTTTTCTATCTCACGGCAATTTTAATACGGAAGAACAATTCAATCTCATGTCCTCTTGTGTTTAGCGAGTGGTATCCGGCCGGTTCATTGTTCCCCACGCGTCATGTTCTAATCAAGACTTCTATTTGCGGATGAGACAAATTAGGCCACTGTTGCTTTCAATAGTGTAATATTGATTCCTCTTTCAAGGATCGCCCGAGACAATGCTTCAACACTGTTCATTGCACATCTGTTGGTGATCACAGTATATTGTTTCATCTTAACCTAATCTGTAAAGGTAAAAGATTTAGAGGTTAAATTACCTGTGCCGTCGGGCAGCTCCGGTACGTAGGTGTTCTCCATCTGCAGGCTGGAGGGCAGCTGGCGCAAGCCGCGTTCCAGCTCGCGCGCGAACGTTTCTCCCACGCGCATCAGCGTCGCCCCGCACAGCACCAGCCCCGAGAGCCGCGACTGCACCTGCATCACACGCACATGACTATTATTAAGAACTAGCGACCCGCCCCAGCATCGCACGGGTGCAATGCTCATTGTTTGTTTTCGACATGGCATTAGAAATATCTAAAATTATCAGTGTTTTTCTACTATATTATTCACGAATCATACATATAAACCTTCCTCTGAATCTCTATATCTATTAAAGAAAACCGCATCAAAATATGTTTGGACAGAGAGACAGCGGGACGACTTTGTTTTTTACTATGTAGTGGTGAATTCCTTGTTTGTTTGAGCTTAATCATACATTCAGGATTTCTCTACAATGGTTTAAAAATATATTTATTATGTATCAGTTAATTAAATTGGTCAAAATAAGTAATAATTCAATTTGGATTCAGAAAGTTGGTTTACAACGATAGTGTCTGAGGACGATATGTATACATATATTGTACCGAAATTGTATATTCCATACATCTTTATTGATATTTGCAAACATCATCAAGTAAGGAAAAGTGTAAACATTGCCATTAAAATGTTATCAGGTTCACAACATTCATTGATAACTTCGGTCGAAGGTCGTTCTGTGATTATCAAGGGTCGTGATATGGAGTGAACGATAGTGGACTACCAATTAGGCATAATCGTAGAAGAAATGAGAAGGTCAACATACAATGGCCACCAGTCTCTTTTGATCTCAGACAGTAGCGGATTTCCAGTCTTGGCCGCACTAGGCCGGTAGGCCATGTAGTAATTACTAATTACCAGCCGCCCCTTTCTCAGCCTCCAAAATATACGTAGGTACAAATGAATTTTATCTATTGCAAACTTTTATCGAATCTATCATAAGCTGCTAATTTGTAATATACTCAGTATATTTCAGAGATATTTGCTTCTTTAAATACAACTTTTAAACAGTTTTAGGTTTATTTATTTAACTACAGATTTATTTTCATACAAAATATACTATAAGTATATAACCATTTTTAAATTTGCTGAAAAAAGAACGAAAAGTTTAATACCACTGCGGGTAGCCGGCCTTTAAGGTACCTAAGTCGTATCGGTCGTAGCTGTGCGGGGCAGAACGTGGCGTGAAAAACGCACAGTTGTATACCGCCAACCATCAAGGTGTTGTCGATGTAATTAGTAGTTTGACAAATTGTACGATGGTATCTTGGTGCCCCAGCCCAGAGGTGAGAACAGTATTCCGTGTGTCCGAATCGATACTTCATAGAGCTGTAAGCGATGGACCCGCAGGAAATAATGACTCAATCTATTAAGGATACCGCGCTGTAAAGAAGCCAGCTTGGCTTTACAACTTTACATACGTAACATGTCTATATTTTCTACAGGAAATGTACGAAAGTGATTTAGGAAGATCATCGCTAAACGATGCGGTGCAGTGCGTCAAGACCTGCGCGATCCTCCAGAATATTTAAATACTTTGGAGTTCTCTCTTTATCATCAGTGAATTTTTTCTCGATTGGCCGCCCCGAATATTGGCCCTAGGCCTGGGCCTCCTGGGCCTTAGGGCTAATCCGCCACTGTCGCGGACCATTAAAGTACAGTCTCCATCCAGTCCAGGTGAATTGAATAGCTTTGCCTGAATGATAACTATTGATTTTGATCAATACTACGTGAAAAAAAAAAGTTTTTTTTTTTTAAAACAAAAAACTATTTGTTGAGGTTATACAAAGTTTTCTAAAAAAAAATCCTTTTTTACACGATCAATCCTAAATTTCATAACATATTACTGTTATTTGTACTGTGGTAGTTCTCTGGTACGCTCCAGCTTCTGCATAGGTACGAATTCAGACAAGTACCTACAACAGCCTCGCCCAAGCAAAAATATTCATATATTTCAATTTCTTTCTTGTGTGAGGAAAACTAGATCACCCTTTAAAGACATTACTACAATTCCTTGCTTATTTATTCTTTGCTAGAAAATTGCTTGGATTGTCATTATCGGTAAAATGAAAATCAATATAAGGTTTGAGGCAAAGTATCAAATAAGTACAACATCTTTTTACAAGACTGTTATCTAAAATAAACATCAAATATTTTCTCAATAAATAAAGCAGTAAAACTATAAAACCGTTGTAGGTATTCAAGCAAATAAAGATACAGGTATTAAATCGCTATCTTTATGACATTATAAACGCGTGAGCTACCGAAAGCTACCGTTTCTTTTGGATTTAAACGTTAAATGCTACTGCAAAATTTAGAAAATGATTATTGGTTTCTACGTGTCATTTGAGTTGAGGAGAGACAGGATTGTTATTACTGGAAATTGTCCTAAATATCAATTGATATTAAAATTGTAATTGAATGTCATCGTCATTTGTATTCGTCTGATAAATAAAGAAGTGGTTTGACAGTTTGTTCTACATTATCAATTTTATATGACTAATAAAAAGTTTTTATGAATTAATTTACTGTTATCGATAATATTTAATTGACCATATTATACTTGAAATTTTAACGATGATGAACATCACTAAATAGTATCAAATCGATAGGAATATTGAATAGTTTTAAGATTTCAACTAGAAGTAAGATGAGCGATCTTTTGCTCTGTTCGCACCAGGTTAAATGCAAAGTGGTTTGCAAAGTACGTACGTGTTGTCAACGAGTCCTCAGATGAGCGGATACATCAAGTGGCTTACAATCGGAACAAAGTATACCGCTGCCAAATTGTCACATGAGCCAGTTGCGAAGTCAAAAATACTTTACAGGTCACAGTTTGCAGCCGCTTGTTAATCCATTATGAAAACGAGACATACGTCAAACTCGCACATATTTCAAAATAACATTCAGTACACATATCAGAAGCTTCTAGATGTAAAAAAACTGAAACAAATATGTAAAATAATCATGACACCATTTGAAAATAAATAAAAAAATTGTATAAATAAAGACTTTTTAGTCAAACGTCGAAAGAAAATTAATCTGATTCGAGCTTTGCCTAGTCGATCCTGGAAATGAATCCCTAATTTCATGCTTGGACATTGAGCGTCCGAGTGTGTTAAACTAAAGATGAGTGAATCAAACAGTGTTGTAACTAAAAATGTTTTGGTTATTACACAAATAAAACGGATGCTTTACACAGAGTACGGACAAAACGCAGAACAATAAACACACTTTTTTTTAAGAAATCAAATAAAAGAATGCGAAAATAACTTTCTTAATTCGATGAGATGGTGATAAGAGATTTCGATGATTTCAAGAAAAGAAAAATCAGTAAAAACGATTCCAAATTTTGGCTTTACAAAATGCCACTGCATTTAAAATACTCTTCAAAATAATGTAAATGTAAAATTATTACGACCATATAAAAACAATAAACATGAAAATTTTAAAATATCGTTTTACTATAGCTAATCTAACAAGAAATTCAAATACCTAATTGAAGTTTGACAGGTTAAACACTGATTTCATGAAATTGAATTTCGAATATTGCCAGCCCAAATTAGTCTCTCCTAGGTTAGATGAAAATTCTTCAGTCAAAGGCCGGAAAACGTCATTTATTTGGGCTTCGAACAAGACTGAGTTAGACCTGAGGATTGACTATTCAAACTCAGGAGTTTAGAGGTTTGACTACAATATGTATATATTTATATAAAAACATTGATTCATCTGCAATTTATTTGTAGTATTCGATTTCATGTTCCGGCAATTTCAATGTGCAAGAACATGTACAGAACAATAAAATGTTGGCTTGTATCTTGTATCTTGTATTAACTGATGTTTTTGCTTTCAGTCCCGAGACTATTAAAGCTTCATCTGACGCAGAACCGGTGGGCTAGCCAGAACCCACGGGTTTGGGCCCTCCGCTGTGGGTAGGGCCGCGCATGTGCTCATGCGTGCGTTTAACTACGACATGTCATCTAAGGGCCATCGAAGTTGCGGTGCGGACCGAGACCCCGATGGCCGTCGACTGTGTTTTTAGCTAATCGGTGGCTGGGGGCGGTGAGAACCGCCCTGGAACGCGGGTGTACCTTGTGTACGGTCTCGCCGTGCTCGGAGGCGAGGGCGAACTAGTGTGTTTGTTGTTGCACTAACTGTGGGTGTAGTGTTGTCCGGCGGGACCCCCGGCGGTGGGTCCGGCGTATCTAAGTCCCCTTCCTCGACCGGGTCGATGAGGACGTTTCGCGGGCGACGCTTGTTGACGTTCGCGTTTGTGTCGGGTTGGTAATTTGCTGCGCTTACCACCAGAGGGTTGGGATGATGTTCGGCTCTATCGAAGAACCGTTTGGTCAGGTCTTTAAAATATTCGCGAATCGTCGGGAGTCTGCAATCGCTGTGCAGATCGACGTTGCGTTGATACCACTGCGCACCGGTTGCACGGCGGATGAACTTATTTTGTACTATTTGCAGCTTGTACAAGCGAGTAGGGTGCGTGTGGGCGAAGATCATGCATGCGTAGGACATAATAGGTCGTACGCAGGTCTTATATAATAATAATTTGTGCCTTAAGGGCATTTTACTTTTAGCGTTAGTTAAATTGTGTAGCCGGCCGGAGACGAACGCGGCTCTATTACGAACGTTATTAATGTGCGTAGTAAATGACATACGCGAGTCGAAAGTGACTCCTAAGTATTTGACCTTTTTCTCCCAGGGGAGCGGTTGGCCATAAAGGATATTTGCCCCAACTTTCTGCATTCGCGAGGACATTATAAAGATGTGACGGGTAAGTACTTCGTGTGAAGTGAATCGCTACACTCTTTTCGGGATTTATTTCTATTCTCCATTTGCGAACCAGTCGCCGAGGCGGTCGGCGGCGCTTTGGAGTCGAGTGGTTAGTAGTCTAAGGTTGCGGTCTGAATAAAAGAGCGCCGTGTCATCCGCGAAAAGCGCGAGATTGACGTGGGGGTCTTTAGGTATATCGCTTGTGTAGAGCGTAAAGAGCAAAGGTGAGAGGCAGGAGCCTTGTGGTACGCCGGCCGTGAGGCGGCGGCTTGTGGAGAGGGTGCCTTCAACTCGATATCGAAAAGAGCGGTTTGACAGGAAGGCCCGATGTTGGC